GAGGAAAACTGGAGTAATAATGTCTATTATAAATTTTTAATCGCCAACTTGCATTGAGCAAGCCTATTGATTAATGCTCAAACCTTCTCCGTGTGAAAAGAGGCTGGATTTCTGGTAACTGTGGATAGACAAATTAGAACCAATGTTGTTTTTTTGTATTTGAGGGCTGAAATTCATCCACCAACTTCTTCCACCTTGGGTTAGGCGGGAAGGAGTGTCAGACTCTTACTGACTAAAAACAACCCCGTTCCTACTTCTGCTCTTCAAGCCGGAGCCCAAGCAACCCGTGTAGTAATTGGAATTTCACCCCCTTCCTGACGACAGATCGATCTAATATTTGGCACACACTCTTAATCTTGATGACCATTGACCATACACATTAAACCATTTAACATATTTTTTATGTATTGATTGTTTTTCTTCTACATTGAAGAAAAATATAATATTTATGTTATTTTATTTAAGACTTAGTACAGTAACAAATGTACAGGTGGACTTAATGCCTTGGGCATTGTCTCCCAGTCGACCTTAAGGTGGTGCAGAGATGCAAGTGGCAGGTGACTAAGCAAATATTGATAATAAATACTTAAGATACTTATATATACAGTCATACCTACATATGTACACATACATCCAATACTTATATCATATAATAATAGGTAATAAAAATATCTAGCCATTTCTAGTAACTCTAAATCGTCATTTACGTCTAAGGATGGTAGAAATTCATTAAAATTTCTCATTGAGAGTGTCTCAGAAGCAAGGAATGTCAACCATGTTGTTTCCCGCTGCAGCCAGACAAACGGTGCCCGGGAATCCAGAACAATCCAGAATATTTAACTATTGTTCTTTATACTTTTAGTTTATGTTTGTTACTCCATGAACAGGTTACGTAACAATAATTTTGCCGTCATCCTGTATTTCTTGTAGTTATCGAATTATATGTACTTTCTAAGATTATCTAGACGCCACTGACACACGGTGAAAGAAAACATCGCGAAGAAACCTGGGCTTATAGTCTCTTACAGTCAACCATAAGGAAGTGCAGAGAAATGAAGTGGTTGATGCGAAGCCAGAACAAATCAGAAAAAATACACTAATACTGACTCACATGGGACTCACAGCATAAATAGTGAAAACTGGGTGTTACATTGTACAGTGGCATAATGTGCACCTCTGTCTACCCTTCGGGGATAAAAGGCGTGATGTTATGTCCTTTCTCGATAGTCACACTTGCAACCACATAACCAAATAGAAAAACGTTGACCTCAGATCTAATAAATACTTACAAGAACAATAAACAGACAAATCAGATTAAATACAAAGATCTAGAGATTGGACAAAAGCAAATCAAACTACACCAATCTTTACTAGACCTTCAACTCTATCTTTTAGTGATACAGTCGAATATCGGTTGAGTCTATTTAGGGTAGCTTCATATGATCGCATTCAGAATAATAATAATAAAGAAGAAATATTTTTGTTAAATATAGATATTACTAACTTCTGTTTGTTTGTTTGTATTGTCCTGATTGGCCTTTGGAAGCAAATACTAATGAATACTGAAGACATAATTTCATTTTTCATTTTATGTGAGTGCTTCATTAATTTAGTACATAGGTCATGGTCCACAGCAACATCATCAAGAGTTCCATCAATATGAACCTTCTCCACATAATAGGGATAATGACAGGGCATGAAAATTCAAAATCTAAGTAGTCCGTCAGTTAAGTAATGAAAAAATAGTAGATACATATTTTTTTATTTTATCGTATAATAAAATGATACTTAGATATAACGAATCAAAGTTTAGGAGTGGGAGCGAAAACGTCATTTCTACGTATAAAATGTACATAGAAGTGACGTCACGTGACATTTCAAAAAAATACGTGTCTAATGTTTTAAAATAATCTACCAGACAGACATTAAAATAAAAATTAGTCATCTACCCTATTATATTTGAAATGAACTCCACGCTTTACTGACAGGTAGTAGTTTTAAGTGTAGGAGAGCTATGCTTCGGCACGAATGGGCCGGCTCGATCGGAGTGATACCACGGCCTCACAGAAAACCGACGTGAAGCAACGCTTGCGTTGTGTTTCGTCGTGTGAGTGAGGTTACCGGAGGCCCAATTACCCTCCTCTTCCCCAATCTCCCCAATTCCTGAATCCCCAACCATCCTCAAACTCCTAATCCCCAAAAGACCGGTAACGCACTTGTAACGCCTCTGGTGTTCCAGGTGTCCATGGGCGACGCCGATTGCTTACCATCAGGTGATCCGTCTGCCCGTTCACAGGCTTACGACATAAAAAAAAGGTTGGAGATTCTAGCTTAATCTTCAAAAGTGAGACAGAACTCAATTCTTTTCATTATAGTTGTAGTTCATAAAAAAGGAGGCAAGCTTAGTGCCATATATATGAGAAATTTTTAATAACACTCTGCCCAACTCTGAATTCGAACCTTGAATTCCTTACCCGGCAATCGCACCTTACCACCACCACCTTTGAAACCAAAACTCATTCATAATAATAATTCACACAACAAAACAACAAGACAAGTATGTAGATATTATTCAGAATAAAATGGAGGACAAAACCTTTCATAAATTCACCCAGTCTGTCTGTACGCAAATTATGCTAAACGCCTGAACTTTGTTTGATAAGGTTTTGTTAATCTGAATAATTTTGTTCGACTACGCTGCCTTCGTACTTTGCGAGTATTTATCGTACCTATTGTTTAATCTATTATGTGAAATTATACCATGTAGTTATTATTATACAGACTTTAAGACCGCCTCGTTGGCCTAGTGGGTCTCCGGGGTCTCGAGTTCGATTCCCGTTTTTTCAAAAAATCTCAGTGGTAGGACGGAGTCCGGAATTGTGTCCGGTATATGGCAATAGGCTCACCCCCTATTACATGGGACTCATAACATAAATAGTGAAAAGTGGGTGTTACAATGTACAGTGGCATTAAGTGCCGTAATGTGTACTTCTGCATACCCCTTCGAGGATAAAAGACGTGATGTTATGTTCGATACATTTGTCAATTGTCACCACTCCTATTCTTCTCGTGGGTCTCGTAAGCTGACTAAGGGACTGCACCACCAGGAATCTTAATTGCCTTATCATTTTAGATTTTTGTAGCTTCTCATTTAACAGATAGACAGCAGCGTAAGAATAAGTCGCAATTTTAAACTACGATTATGACCAACACTATGATTTTTTTTGATGATTTTTGTTATTTTGTTTACGCTTTTATGTTTGTTATTAATATTATGTATTTATGTAAGTATCTGTATTTATATTTACCATAATCTTTGTTTGTGTGCCATTTGCCAAATAAATGCTTTTTCTTTCTTTCTTTCTTTATGTAGGACAGGCTTATAAATGTAAATCAAATTAGCATACTGGAAATAATTGTAGACTTATGTTTCAAAGGTCGAAATCATTTATTTTAATTACACTTTTGAACGTCAACAAGAAATTAAAATTGAAGCTATTTGCTCTTTCCAATGTGTAGATTCCTTTGGAGAAGAACGAGCAAGAAACTCCATAGGTAACTCTTTTTCAATCAGGTTCACAATACAATTCTCTATTATAATTATATTATGCTATTAGATGGTATCAAATATTTTCTAAATTTGGTAGACAAATAATACTTTGAATCACCTGAGACTTGAACCCTGGGTTGCTTAAGATCGTTAGCAGTCTCGTCACTACCACTTAAAAATATAACAATACAGTAAAGCCACAAGTTATTAACTATGAAATTCGAGATAAAAATTATGATATAAAATAAAGTTTCGAACTTTTAACCTAACCCTAACTTTACTCTCACAAAATTAGTCTATCAATATTCCTTTATACGTAATACTATAACAAATTTCTAAGTATTCCAAAATATAACGAGTATTTGCATATTTCTAAAGGGGTCGTCGTGCATGTAAACTTTGCTTAATTGAAATTTTACCATCACTCTTTAGACAGGCAAAAGTTGAAGCAACGAGGGATCAATTTTCAATTCTGAATACTCTATTCGAGTTAAGTAGACATCGGGCTGTGTCGATAGAAATTATGTCGATGAAACCGCTTTTTCGATAGACGACACGATCATTGTAATAATGTTGTTATAAACTTTGTTAAAAAGAGCTGGTTAGTTGTAATATGTTACGTTTTTAATCAGTCTGTTTTGACACTCCCTCTAAGGCGCCTCATCTAAGGCGAGAGAAGTCATTGGATGGTTTTTTTATACAATAGGTCGAAGTTTGGTCACCATCGCGCCTGGTGTTTTGATGGTATTCCCCATGATCGCTGGCGAATAGTGAAGCTGGCGGGACGCCATTACGTCACCCAGGGATGTGCTGAAAATCAGCGCTGCGACGCTAACCTCTCGAGGTTTAAGTCGTAGAAATTGCTGAGCATATCCTGTTTTTGCGCACGCATACATGACGCACAATATTGGGGCAAGGGGTTACGCTAGCATCAAGTACCTATAATTGATGCGTTTTGTTTTATATAATTAAACTTTTATATAATAATATACTCCATCCAATTTTATGAAATGCATGCATGAAGTAAGTAGGGTGTTCCTTGTCTATGGTCCACAGATAATGTTAGATATTAAGTATTCTATAATTTCAGTAAAGAATAAGTCTGTGGACCATGGACAAGACTTCACTTCATTTTATATTTTTAGCTTTTATTTTATTTTATTTTATTTTTGGTTATGTTATGTGTTTTGCGCAAGAATAAATGGTTTTTCTTTCTTCTTTCTTTCTTTCTCAATCAACAGTGTTGTTCACCTCTTCATTTATCAGACTCCTTAGTAGATTTTAGTCTAAAAACGTAATTGAAGAAAAAAGGGCAGAATAAAATACAAACATAAATTAATCTACCAAATAGACATGTAGTACATGACGTAGTAGACACTAAAATGTATTACTAAAATGTATAAACATTAATAAAAACAGCTTTATTTACACATTCTAATTAAAAAACCAACTAGCTACGATCCTTCTCAGCTAATTTTATAGTTTTTGTGATACCTGCTACTATTCCAAGCCAAGTTTCTGTGCATACTTGTTCAATATACATGGGATCTAGTTCAAAGCCTTCCATACCACCTGACAGTCCAGGCAACTCGAAGGTGTATGAATAGGGGATCCCCAGATTATGAGCATAGTCATCAGCAGCACCTCCAGCCGTATAGAAGATAGTTTGTACAGAATTGCCATTGACATAGGCGGGGAAATTTGGTAAGGACGCGTTTTTGATGGCTTTAATCATAGCAGAGCTGGCTAAATGAAGATTGAAGCTATATTTGGAGACGGAAGAATTATGTCCCCATGGATACAAAATCATACTTCCAAAGCTATGCATTGAAATGTACATAGACATGCGGTTAAAATAAGTTTGAAATATGTCACGGACGGCTCTGATTTCAACTTCGGAGAAGGCTTTATTTCCACGGTAGATTTCGGAGCAAGGGTTACTACTGGTTCCCGTGGCACCCCAAGCAAAGTCGAAGTTTCGATTTCCGTCGACGCCAGGACATCTGTAGCTTTTAGGGTTGGTATCAGTAGACCGAGTTTTGCGCCAGAGGCGTTTCTGGAACAGTTTAATTGGTTTCAATTTACAGGTTTAAGGATTAAGAAGAAAATTTTGAACACTTCATTAACTACTGTAGATCCTGGCTTACAGGAGTTTCACTGGTTTTGGGACGTTGTGGCGGGCTTGTCCCATTAATAAGGAAAAAGATTAGATATATGACTTCTATCCTTTTTTTTGTACATTTGCTATTAATGTAAACATTGCTAACAGCGATTTTAATATTATATTCTTGTTGCAATATGGTTTTAGCCACAATCCAATCCTGGTCCTTATGTTGCACAAAGCCTTTGGCAATTTAATCTGTCAAACACCGAGCGGTCACCGGTGACCGCGACCTATTGTTCTTTAATTGTGTCTATAAAACCGGTACTCGACGAGTTAATATTATTCATAAAGAAATCCCAAACTTACTTTGGAAAAACTGAACTCATAGCCATCAGGGTTGACGATCGGCATGAGGATCCAATCAAAATCATCGAGTATTTTGGGCTCAGTGACATCATCAGTTAACTTATGGATAATCCAAGTGACGACAGGGGGAGCTATCCACTCCCTTGCATGGATCCCAGAATCGATGAAGATAATCTTTTTAAGTCTTCTTTGAAAATTCGTAGTGGAGATTTTCAAGTACCTAAGCGGACGGCCTTCGAACGAATGGCCTGCTGTAACCATGGTCACCGTTTTTTGGTGTCTCATTGAGACATCGTGCATGTAGGCGTAGATCTGAAAAAAGGGAAGTGTATGATATACATAACATCACGCCTTTTATCCCCGAATGGGTAGGCAGAGGTGCACATTATACCGCTGTACAATGTAACACCCACTTTTCACTATCTATGTAATGAGTCCCATGTAATAGGGGGTGAGCCTATTGCCATATACCGGGCACAATTCCAGACTTCGTGCTACTACTGAGAATTTTTTTAAAACCCAGTTATACTTTACGTTAGCTCGACAGGTGGCGCTGTCTGTATAAACACCTAAAACTATAACTCTCTTCTTTAAAATTAAGTTTAAATTATTTATCAACCATTACGAGATATAGTAACGGATAAAAAGTGTGTGTTAATATATAAACTATATGTGTTAGTGATATTTGCAAAAACTAAGTGCGTTAGCGCATACAAATAAGTGTAATGTAAAATTGATAAACCTACTTAACTCGTCATACATACCAATAGTAAATACGAAATCCTTACGAACATTTAAAATAATTTCAACAGTGGAACAAAGTACCTATCTAATTAAATGGAGATACGCTGAACTACTTAGATAGCAAAGAATTCTTGTTTTAATTATAGTGCAAGTGAAACAGTATTGTATATTAACTTGGGTGCAAATATTTTAATGCTATGTACTGTCTACCTCCACATTACTTTATGAATGGAGCCATTGCACTGAGAACCGCAATTTCGACGTGTTATTATACACACTCCGTGGCTCGTTGGTATTCCGTACGGATCGCAGATCGTTAGAAGGTCCCCGAGTTCGATTCTAGCTAGCGGGTTGTCTTTTTGTGGTTTCTAAAGATTTATTTACTTGTAAAAATACTAACATTATAGTTATTAGAAATGGATTCGGATAACGTAACTTTGCGAAAAAATCGCCGTTCTATTTCTATGCAAAATATCACTGGATCATCCTCACTATTTGATACTACAATGATAAGCTTGCCAAACACGTCACTAGATGGCGGCTGTTGCATAGAACTACGGGAACAAATAGGTGAACTTAAAATGAGTTTATTGTCAGCCAACAATGAGATAGACAACATGCATTTGGAAATCAACAATCTAAAAAAAGACCTCGCTAAGTGTTATGGAGTAATAGAAATATATAAAAAAATGGATTTTACGGAAAAAACAAAAGGTGTTATGTCAGCTCAAAAACAGAAGAGGTATCAACTTTATGATGTAAATAGATATGATGTTACTTCACCAACACCTTCATCCAACATACGAAATGGTGATCTTACAATGAATACAATAGATCAATCAGGTTACGATACAACGGAACAAAATGCTAATGCTATCATTGATACGGGTTCCATCGACTCAAATATTTCATGCAGTGTTGAGTTGAATGATCGGGAGACAGTAACAACGGAAAAAGAACTACCAATGGACAGTGTCAACGAGAATGTTTGCGTTACTATGACAACTACTGCACAGCACGTAACAACAGATATAAGTGATCGGCCTCAGAACTTACAAAATCCAGTTTTGCCTACAAGGAGAAACAAAGTTATAGTTATTGCTGATGAACAAGGCCGTCATTTTCAACATGTTTTTCAAGGTCTGGTAGGGTCAGAATTTTCTGTGAGCTGTTTTTGGAAACCTGGAGCTACATTAGCCGAAGTTTTACTAACGGAAAGGAGTGAATTGAAAACACTGTCTAAAAAGGATTTTGTTATTGTATTAGCAGGGACAAATGACAGAAATCCTTATAACTTTCAATTTGAATTGCAAGCATTTTTAAAAGAACTCGAAAATACAAATATTATAATTACAAATGTTCCATACAATAAATATTTGAATGCTAAGAAAATTAATTACGAATTAAGATTTTTATGTAATAGGAATGGCAAAAATAATAGTTTTGTAAATATTAATTATTTTGACTACAAGCCCGGACGTGACTCTTTTCTACTCTGTAAGTGCCGGTCTATATTAAAAGAACTCCTGCGTATTAATTATAAAACAAAATATGAAGAATATCTTGGTAAGTTGAATTGTTCGAAGTATTGTCCGAGTGCCGTAGATAAATGTACTCAAACTGATTCAGAGTTTAACTGTGAGTCGGAAGTGATTGAGAATCCTACAAAATGTTTTCGTGTACAATAAGGTATGTGTTCTGCATCAAAATGTAAATGGATTATTGACTAAGTCTGATTTGTTAGTGTTGGCTTTGGATACATACCAGAAAGACACCTCTTTGTCTATTGATGTCCTTTGTATTACTGAACACAATATGACAATTGATGACCTACAGATCCTTTCTGTTCACAATTTCATTCTTGGTTCTTGTTTTTCTCGTAAAAATCGCCATGGAGGTGCGTGTGTCTTAGTGCGAAAAACGCATAGATTTAAAGAAATTTCTGACATTAAAAAGTATTCCAAAGAAGGTATTATAGAATGCTCTGGTGTTGAATTGTTGAATCATGGCATTTATATAGTATGCATATATCGTCCTCCTAAATGTACTAATCCCGACTTAGACATATTTTTCAAAACATTAGAAATATTACTCACTCTATCCTACAAGAAAAATAAAATAATAATTTGTGGTGACTTCAATATTAATATTTTGAAACCGTCAAGAAGTACCGATAGATTGAAAGAAATGCTATCTGTTTTTAATCTGCGTTTGCAAATTAAAGAACCAACACGTCTTAAATCAGGTACATGTTTGGATAATTTTATTGATAACATACGAGGTAGCACATGTAAAGTTGTGGAATTTGCTATTTCTGACCATACAGCACAAGTTCTGACGTGCCCAGTTAAACCAAGTAGCAGTCTAAAATATTGGTATGTAGAAAAACGGGACTTTAATAAGCAAAATATTGACAAATTTAAACAATCTATATCATCTTTGACATTTTGTGATATTTTTAATTGTGACAATCCTAATACTGCATTTGACATTTTTCATGATTTATTTTCCTTATTTTTTCAATTGTGTTTTCCCTTAATTGTTAAAAAAATACGAGCTGAAAAACGACCTACATGGATTACCTCAGGTATAAGAAAGTGTTGTAAACGCAAACGGCAACTCTTATGGCAATATAGGAAAAATCGTACCGAAATAAATAAAAGTAATTTTAAAGCTCTTTCGTCTAGACTTAAACGTGTTATCAATCTCACACAAAAATCCCAAAATGATAATTATATTAACACTGCAGTTAATAAGGGTAGGGCTACTTGGCAAATAATAAATTATATTAAACACAATTTACCTAAGGCCGAAATAGAGGAATTGGATGTAAATGGTAAAATTATTAGTGACCCCGCACAATTAGCCGAATCTTTTAATGACTTCTTTATTGACCAAATATCAACAAATACATTGAATGCTAAGCCGGGCAACCATCTTGGACCGGTCAATTCCATTTTTATTGCACCCACAACCCCAGCTGACATAGAAAGCATAATAGGCAGTCTGAAAAACACGTTGAGTACTGGTTATGACGATATAACAACAAGCGCCTTAAAGCATGCGGCAAATAGTATATCCCCGGTATTAAGTCACATAATTAATCTATGTATATTAAATGGAATTTTCCCAGAAAAACTAAAACAAACAATTATAAAACCATTGTTTAAGAAAGGAAACTTAAAGGACATGTCATGTTACCGACCCATTGCACTTGTTCCAGTCCTATCTAAAATATTTGAGAAGGTTATATATAACAATTTGTATTCCTTTTTTGAGTGTTACAACCTATTTGCTGAAGAACAAGTTGGTTTTAGGAAAAAAAAAAATATTAGTCTTGCTATTTACAGGCTTCTTAGAATAGTTATGACAAATGTGGATAAGGGGATCCCAACATGTGCTTTATACATGGATCTCACTAAAGCCTTTGATCACGTAGATCATACTCTCCTCTTGAAGAAGCTTAATGCATATGGTGTTAGAGGAACTGCTCTGGATTTAATTAAATCATATCTATCTAACCGAAGTCAATCTACAGTAGTTACGACAATTTGTAAAAATAAAAAAAAACAAATAAAATACATGTCGAAATTTAGAAAAATAAACGTCGGTGTACCTCAGGGTAGTGTGTTGGGGCCTTTATTATTCATCATATATATAAATGATTTCCCGAATATTACCCAGCATCCAACAATATTATTTGCTGATGATAGTACAGTCCTTTTCCAAGGACAAAATCAAAACCTTCTGGAAGAGGATATAAACAACATGTTAATTACTATTGTTGACTGGTTGACAAGTAACAATCTAAAGATAAATTTGACTAAGACTAATATAATGACATTTAGAAATAGAAAGGAATTAATAACTAATGTTCTAATTAATTATTCAGGACACAAAATACAAGAGGTACAGTGCACAAAATTTCTAGGACTGCATATAGAGAGCAACTTAAAGTGGCGATCTCATAGTGAATATATAAGCTCCAAAATTAATCAGTTCTCGTATGCACTATTCAAGCTATCTAAGGTTGCTAATGCCGGAACACTTATAACTGCATACCACGGACACGTTGTTTCTCTTCTTCGGTATGGGATAATCTTCTGGGGCAACTCAACTTACAAAGAAATGATATTCATATCTCAAAAGAGGTGTGTCAGGGCTATTTGCAAACTAAGCCAGACCGACAGCTGTAGACCGTACTTTATTAATTTAAATATTTTGACGGTACCATGTATCTACATGTACGAAGTGTTAGTATTTGTAAAGAATAATATTAATCTGTTTGACAAAATGAAAAGTAAACGCTATAATAATCACATATGTTTCCCGAGTAATAGAACGCATTTTCTTAATAATAGCGTTTTTTGTATGGCCCCAAGATTATACAACCATTTGCCAAACGAATTGCTACATATACAATCTTTGAAGGTTTTAAAAATAGAATAAAAAGGTTTTTTAATCTCTAAGGCATATTATAGTGTTACTGAGTACTTAGACGACAAAATATGATGTATTTTTATTTTATTTTGTTTAATAATTTTTATCTTGTTTTTATTTTACTATTGACATTCTGATTGTTTAATATTGTGACATTTAAATTTTTAATCCTATGTGACCTAATAATTAATAATTCTAATGACATTAAGTAATAATAATCAATCCAAATCTTTGTTTCCAACTATATTCTAATTTTGTATGCTGAAAAAGCCAACATAGCGTTTAAAATTGTTATTTAAGACCCTAATGTCACCTATGTTCACAATTGAATAAATGAATTTGAATTTGAATTTGAATTTGACTTTGCCTGTCCCCGGAATCGAACCCGAGACCCCTTACCAGGCAGTCGCACTTGCGACCACTCGGCCAACGAGGCAGTCAGTATTAATGATATATTAGCTAATGTATGATATATTAGCTATTATTAAATAAACCAAAATGAGTTGCTCAATTGATGTTTCATAGAGATTGTAACTCAACAATCTACCTACGGGAATTTAAAGGAGCGATGTTGTTCATGATCTTTAAATGACTTCTTTTAGAATTAGAACTAATTTTGAAAACAGCCAACCATAACTAACTGACCAGTTGTCACGCCAGTTGAACCTAAAAAATCACCAAGAAAGTGAATTCTTCATTAAAAAATAGTCATTATTTTTGGTCTCCCTGTCTGATTGTGTCATATTTTCGGCAAGACTATACTGATTGTTTTTTTTTAAGGGGGGAAAATCATCGAATGACTGCTCCCGCCTGGGTGAGGCGGAAGGGAGTGTCAGACTCTTACTGACTAAAAACCACCCCGTTCCTTCTCCTGCACGTCGAGCCGGAGCCCCGGTTACCCGTTAGGTTCTCCGCGACATACTAATTGTTTTGTATTTTATTATTTCTTACTTACTGCATCCAAATTAAGGTAGCTGTTATATGGCATAACAGTACCACCTCCTCTAAGTATTACATTTGTCCAATTTCTCAATAGTTCGTCATCATGGTCAAGAGCTCTGAAATAAGATTGTTGTAAATTTTAGGTTTTAAGTTTAACCGATTTCAATTTTTGTTTAAACGTGTCCCACATTAGGCTTTCTGCTGAGTGCATGGTGACTCCAAACATACAATATTAGATACACATCACATGTAAGAAATAAAGAAAAAACATTTATTCAGCAACAGGCACGATGCAGCATAAATAAATTATAAAAAAAGACAATAAAGGTGACAGTGAAATTAATAAAAACATAAGAGTTAAAAAATTAAAACAGAAGAATTAGAAGAGAGACGCTAGTTGCTAGATGGGCTAGTTATTTTTTGAGGAAGGCTATAAAACATCACCCTACGATCAATAGGCGCCGAGCAAAGCGGATGAAACCGCGCGTAAGTAGCCAGCAGTAGTCTCTTACAATAATTCTTTTATAAAGTATGTTAAAAAAACCGACTTCAATCCACTGTTTTTTGAAGTTCGTTAACTCATATACTAAAACCTTCTCCAGAGTGTGTCTCCACTTTTCAGGAAACCGAATCAAATCGGTCCAGCCAATTCCGAGATAATGGCGCACAAAACAGGTTAAACTGAGAACATCCTCTTTTTTCTTATTGAAGTCGGTTAAAATATAAACGTACTTACGCTTTGACGTTTTCCGCGTGAGTCCAGTATTTTATGGTAAAATATTTCAATCTTGTAATGAATTCCAGTTGATGTTTCGGAGGTACCAATACTAAAGCCTCCCTTTCTGGATGTGGTGGGCTTAAGAAGTCCAAATCCAGTTTTTCACCAAGTATAACTAAGGCTCTAACATGGTCTTTGCTTATAGGTCTCACGAAGTAGGATTTCCAGCTAAAATCGTTGTGACGTTAATCGTGGAATTTTGCTATCTTTGATAAGCTTCATTCATTAATTAATCTTGACTGATTAGAGAATTATTGAAATCGAGTTTCGGTTACAATACAATAACTAATTCCATTCAATAAACTGACACAGCCATAGAGGTAGAATGTTAGCCATACTGTACATTTTTCTTATAGAAGATCCATGGTATGATAAGAATAAGTCGGCTCGACCGGTGTGATACCACGGCCTCACAAAAAACAATAGGTTTTAGGAGTTTTGTCCTGACTGGAACTCCAAAATCACCACGGCCTCACAGAAAGCCGACGTGAAGCAACGCTTGCATTGTGTTTCGTCGTGTGAGTGAGGTTACCTGAGGCCTAATTACCCTCCCCTTGTCCAATCTCTCCAATTCCTGAATCCCCAACGATCCTTAAACATGTAACGTGTTCCAGGTGTCCATGGTGGACGCCGATTGCTTACCATCAGGTGATCCGTCTGTTCGTTTACCATAAAGAAAACAATAAAAAAATCAGAAAAAGGCCGATAACACACATCTGGTGTTACAATCCATGAGTGGCGCCGACGGCTTGATGATCCGTCAATTCTTTTGCCTCCTTATCCAAATACAGAAAATTTAATTTGTTTAGGTACTGACCCGATATAGTGTTCATTCCTGGCAAAAATATATGCAGCCATAATTAGAATAAGTATTAACTTTATCTTGACTCGCTTGAAATGTGACGAGCAGGTGGGGTAAAACCCCATAATTTTTGTAAGCAATTTCGATGCTCACGCCGTCTTTTCTTTACGGATGTACAGCTGGGGCATGTGAGAAAAGATAATATTAGTACTTAACAATTAAATTCATCTATCACATAACTACGGAATTGGGATGACGACAGGGCATGAAAATTAAAAATCTAATTAGTCCGTAAGTTAGGTAATGAAAAAATATTAGACACGTATTTTTTTATTTTGTTGTATAACAAAACAATACTTAGATAAAACGAATCAATGTTTTAGAGTGGGGGCTAAAACGTCATTTCTACGTATAAAATGTACACAGAAGTGACGTCACGCGACATTTCAAATCAATAATATCGTCGAAAGTATTCGTTTCTGTAAGAAAATAAAAAATACGTGTCTAATGATATAAAATAATCTACCACACGGACATTAAAATAAAAATTAGGCATCTACCCGATTGCAAATATGTTTGGTACAAACAAATTGGAGTTACGAAGGTACAGATCATAGAATAAGTTATTTCGTGCTGAAATCAAACTCGACATGTTTCACAGTAGCAAGTTACCCAGCTACTGCACCAATCATGAAGTCTTGACTCGTCCATGTTAATACTAGTATTAATATTACTTGCATATTTTCACAATCAAAATAAGTACCTAGACATTATATCATAATTAGATTAGGTACGCACAAAAGAAGAAAACGTCACAAATCCAGTAATAAAGTACTTTGTATTACACCATCAATCATTAATAAATATATCAGCAATTATATCTACAGTATTTTTATCTTAATTTCAATCCACTTCTGAATTGTTTCTCAGCTCTTTGCGCACCGACGGCGATACCTGCCCAAGTTACTTTACCAATGGATTCAATAAATTTCTGTTCCAAATGGAATCCTTCTGTACCATTTGAAAGTCCTGGTAACTCAATAGCATAAGATAAAGGTACTCCTAAGAAATGAGCGTAGTCTTTAACATTTCCTGATGCTTTGTAGTTGAATATCTTAGCCGAATCACCGACAGCATTGTGAGGGAAGTGGTTTGAGATATAACGATCCATTGCTTGGGCTATGGCGACACCAACGGATTGAAGCACTTTGCTGTAGTTAGATGAAGATCCATGATGAGCCCAGGAGTAGATGACCATGCTTCCATAATTGTGCATATCGATGTAAAGAGTCACACGATCGAGGTACTCATTAAGTATGTCTCGAATTACTTGAGTCTCCAGCTCAGAGAACGCTTTATTCCCTCCATAGATGTCAGAGCAAGGGTTATTACTAGTGCCAACAGTTTTCCAAAAGATTCCGTAGTTGCGGTTCCCATCGACTTCTGGACAATGCTTGTTTGTGTATACATTTATGGTGCGGTTTTTTCGCCAGAAACGATCCTGGAAAAAATAAATGAAAAATTAAACAATTTGAATTTCTAGGTGTCGATCAGTTCAGATATCCAAAAATTGAAATGAGAATTGATAAATTTTTATAAGCTTACTAGCTGTTGCCCGCGATTTCGTCCCCATAGAATATGATTCCCGTTTTATCCAATATTACCTAAGTCAGCCCATACCCTGCCTGTATACCACATTTTATCAAAATCCGTTCAGTAGTTTCAGCGTGATCGAGGGCAAACCTCCAAACAAATATTTTCACATGTATAATATCAATAAGCTCATCCCCTATTACATGGGACTCATAACATAAATAGCGAAATGTGGCTGTTACGTTGGTCAGTGGCATTAAGTACCATAATGTGTACCTCTGCCTACCTCTTCGGGGATAAAAGGCGTGATGTCATGATGATGATGACTGCTCCAAATGGGATGATCCTTTTGTCGCGCTTATTCTTATCAAGACAAGACAGCTAAACAATCTTGGTTCTCATAAAACTCACCGACTCTAACCGTTGGTAGCTATTGTAAGGGTAATAATGGATCAAGTTTGTTCTGCCAGTGCCGTTTGACCAATAATCCATTACTTCGTCGTCATGATCAAGAGCCCTAAAAGTATAATATTAATTTTAACAGTGTTTTGTAGACAATCTAGTTTCCTTATGGCATCGAGCATTTCTAAGAGTTTCCTTTTCTTGTATAGAAGCACTAATTCTATGGATTGTCAGTATGCATATGTGAGCACCATGTTGGACTTTAAGTTAATTTTAATTTAATTATTTTTTTTTTTAATTTTTGTAAGTTATTAGTATAATGCGTCAAGCGTGTCTTTGCATTGTTCTTACATATGCGTACAGTATTGAAATATGTATCAGAGACATTGTAGAACATACTTTTTTTAAAAAGAGTAACGAATGGAGTTTCTTGCTCGTTCTTCTCCATTCGAATCTACTTTTTGGAATGAGCACCTAGCTTCACCTAGTTTCACTGACGGACTGACTGACAGACTATTATTTATTTTGTATTTGTTGACGTTTCAAAAGCACCAAACTATGGTTTAATTGAAATAAATGCTTTGACTTTGACTTTGACTTTGACTTGAACAATCAGCACGTGTATTGCAAAATATTAAGCAATTTGTTCGCAACATTTCTATTGCAGCATTTTCAATATTTTAAGCCTCATTAGCTGTATTAATGAGACTGATATTATCTAAACTGATGATGATTAATTGGGGATTTCTTAAATGATTGATATTTGAATATTGCTGTAATAATCAAACGGCACTCTATTTTAAGTCGCGCTCAAGTATAGATAGAAAATATTCTGTCACTACAAATGCTTTGTAAAACGACAGAGATGGCACAATATCAAGATTTTTTTATGGTATAAGCCGGTAAACGATCAGACGTATCACCTGATGGTAAGCAATCGGCGTCGCCCATGGACACCTGGAACACCAGAGGCGTTACGAGTGCGTTACCGGCCTTTTGGGGATTAGGAGTTTGAGGATCGTTGGGGATTCAGGGATTGAGGAGATTGGGGAAGGGGAGGGTAATTGGGCTTCCGGTAACCTCATTCACACGACAAAACACAACGCAAGCCTTGTTTCGCGTCGGTTTTCTGTGAGGCCGTGGTATCACTCCGGTAGAGCCGGTCCATTCGTGCCAAAGCATGGCTCTCCCACACTTAAAAATGTATGGGCGAATATTAATGAATATATTTAAGAAAAAAATATATCATAATATGAGGTCACATTAAAATGTAATATTGCGCAACGAATATAAAAAATATTATAATCTCTATTATTTTTTATTAATAGTAGTTCAGCTGTTATCCGCGATTAAGTGTGACGTGTAGTTAGATTAGCAGTATCGGTGAATTCCGTATACCTACAGTTAATTATAATTTATTTCACAATATGCCTCGTTGGCCAACGAGTCACAGGTTCGATTCCCGGGTCGAGTCAAAGTGTTACTGAGTTTTTTACACAATTCTCAGTGGTAGCACGGAGTCAAGACTTGTGCCCGGTATATGGCAATAGGCTCACCCCCTATTACATGGGACACATAACATAAATAGTGAAGAGTGGGTGTTACATTGTACAGTAGCATTAAGTGCCGCAATATGTAGCTCTGCCTCCACCTTCGGGGATATAAGGCGTAATGTTATGTTATTGAAATGCTGTATCGTAAACGTTCATACGCTGTTAATGTAATGTATATGTCATTTATAGGCTGTTGATGTAATATAAACTTTCTTACTTTTTGCAGCAGCAGCTTGGGCCCGGCATTTGATTCCCAGCTTCTTAACGATATCCAAAAAAAATCATTACTAAATGTAATGTTTTTTTGTGCTGCACTAACAGCCTCTCGGTTCAAAAGTACCTATAGGACCCAAAAATCTAGATTTAGTTTTTTCGGCTGCTTCGTATAATGTTTTCACTTGTGCATTCGTTGTTGCTACTATGAAGTACGATTTCCACCTGGAAACATATATAGGTTACTATATACTCAAAAAATTCAAAAAAATTACGTTCATAACCGCCCATACCCTTCCTGTGGGTAGACAAGAGATCTCTGATAAACCTGAACCTTTTGAACTGACCTCTAACTCGCCCGCCAAGCAAGGAGATTATGCCATACCCCTCGTATGTCAGGAGTCCTATAATCCAGGAGTGATCTGTCTGATTGCATATGTCTGTTACACTGTAACGTGAAAACTACTGGACAGGATTTGATTGAAATCGTGGTATGGATAGATCAATTAATGCTTCGGAATAAGTGTTATAATATTTTGGGCTACTTTTCGATTCTACAATTTTTTTGTAGAAAATTAACAGTGTATGACGCCTGTGTCAGTATGATGCACCTAGGTATGCCTATACGTTTGACGATTAAAATGATGAATGTACCAGCACATCAATCTCCTCCAATATCTAAATATTTGACGTAGGATTTTCGATTTTATACCTATACGATAGAATTGAAAATCTAATAAAGAAATTTGACAGAAAAGAGTAAGTTTACCTGCTGCCTACTGTACAAATTGTAATAGGGTAGTATCCTAAATTTTATTTTAATGTCCGTCTGGTACATTAATTTAAAACTTTAGACACGTATTATTTCTTTACTCACCAAATTAAATACTCGTGTGACGTTTTATTAATTTCAAATATCGTGTGACCTCACAGCGTGTCACATTTTGTAGCACGTTATGACGTAACGACCTCCCACTCCTAAACATAGCGCCCTTTTATCTAAGTATTGCAACTAAATACGAGGAAATAAAAATACGTGTCTAATATCTTTCATTATCTAACTGACGGACTAATTCGATTTTTAATTTGTATACCCTGGAATCTACCCAATTATGTTTATATTAAACTAGCTACTTTCGCGCGGTTTCACACGCTCTGCTCAGCTCCTATTGGTCGTAGCGTGATGTTTTATAGCCTATAGCCATCCTGGATAAATGCGCTATCCAACACAAAAAGAATTATTCAAATCAGACTTGTAGTTACGGAAATTAGCGCATTCAAACAAACAAACTCTTCCGCTTCATATAATAGTATTATAAGATTTAAACAATAATTATAATTAGTACTAACCCCTTATATTGTCCATGTTTGGCATGAGTCGAAACGGTAAGTTCAGTCAGTCACCACCAATATCTTCATTAATAGGTACACACCCACCACGATTGTTGTCGAAAACACAATATCTATTTGCTATCTGTACCTACCATGTATTAAAATTAATTTTAACTATAGATATATTAAATTTTTAATCCTACCAGGGGCTTATTTGTGAAGCGATAAGAAATACGTCATCATCGGAATTTTTATTAGAATTAGATTTTTGTGTTAGTCCATGTTTTTGTTAGTCAATGAGGAAAAATTGATAATTTTTTTATGGGATAAGCCGGTAAACGAGCAGACCATTCACCTGATGGTAAGCAATCGGCGCCGTCCATGGACATTTGGAACACCAGAGGCATTACAAGCGCGTTACCGGCCTTTTGGGGATTTGGGAATTGGGGAGATTGGGGAAGGGGAGGGTAATTTGGTCTCCGGTAACCTCACTCACACGACGAAACACAACGCAAGCGTTGCTTCACGTTGGTTTTCTGTGAGGCCGTGGTAACACTCCGGTCGAGCCGGCCCATTCGTGCCGAAGCATGGCTCTCCCACACATAATCATCTTAACGACTAAATATTTAGTTAATTGTCCATGTAATACGTCTTAAAATATAACTTACCAAATACTGGTAAACACATTGCTCCTAAAAACTATGCGATTTGCGATAAAAATAACAATTTTGATATAAAAACATACTCATAAAACAGTATAGAAATAGTATTAAAATGCGATATTAAATACCTATAAAAAGTCCACCTTCATACTACGGAGGAAAAACAAATGATTGTTTTGTTATGAGTCGACCAATCATTATCATTTTTTGACAATAACAGCAGTGAACGTCATTAGACTGGTATATATATATAGTCCATAGTTATTCCTTGATTAAACGGAAAGAGTAGACCGTTCACAAAATGTGAAGGAATCAGCCCAGAACTGTTTTTTTATCATGGCATAAGCCGGTAAACTAGCAGGCGGATCACCTGATGGTAAGCAATCGGCGTCGCCCATGGACACCTGGAACACCAGAGGCGTTACAAGTGCGTTACCGGCCTTTTGGAATTAGGAATTTGAGGATTGTTGGGGATTCAGTGATTGGGGAAAGGGAAGGGGGGTTGTTGGGCATCCGGTAAACTCACTCACACGACGAAACACAACACAACGTTGTTTCACGTCGGTCTTCTGTGAGGCCGTGGTGTCACTCCGGTCGAGCCGGCCCATTCATGCCGAAGCATGGCTCTCCCACACTTAAAACTGTCCGTAGACAATGGAAAAATGCAACACTGGAAAAGGTAGAAGTGCGTTGTTGATATTTAGGAGCGGAGGTTACACCTTCGGTAAGCCTATCGACACACTTTACAAGCGTCTTCCCACGCCAGTTTTCTGTGAGACCGTGCCGTGGTACTACTCCGGTCGAGCCGGCTCATGCGTACCGAAGCATGGCCTCTTTCGCGTAAAATAGTGATAGAAGGAAGGTTTTATATTTCTCATTATCTGTTTGTATGAAATTCTGTCCTCTATTTATAACATTCTTAACTTAGATTGCCTCGTTGGCCGAGTGGTAGTGCACGGTAGTTACAGGGCACGGGGTCACGGGTTCGATTCCCGGGTCAGGCAAAATATAACTGGTTTTTTTTTTAATCTCAGTAATAGCACAGAGTTTAGAATTATGCCCGGTATATGGCAATAGGCTCACTCCCTACATGGGTTTTGTATCATAAATAATGAAAAGTGGGTGTCACATCGCACAGTGCAATTAAGTGCACATCATGTGTACCTCTGCCTACCCCTTCGGGGATAAAAGGCGTAAGGTTATGTTATGTTCTTAACTTAAATATCGCCACAGCTGGGGCACAGTAGGACTGATGCCGAATACGGAGCCACGGAAGACTTAACGCGTAGCCGGGGCTCCAGCGTGAAGTGCAGGAGTAGGAACGGGGTGGTTTTAGTCAGTAAGAGTCTGACACTCCCTCCCGCCACACCCAGGCGGGAGAAGCCATTGGATGATTTTGACCGCTCAAGAAAAAAAAGCTACCTTTCCTAAACAATCTCTCATCTAAAATTTACCTAGCGTGACATACCACTTGAACTAACCCCTTACTTACTGTTAGGTGTCACTTATAGATTGGTGAAAACCAAAATGACGTTAAATGTCACCTATCTTAGAATAGGGGTTCCTTAACATTTGGGAAAGATTGATGACAGTGGTCATAAGTAGTAGAACGTAGGTATGACTATTTTTAATCTAGAAGTATGTCTTCATAGAAAAACAACATTGATATAGAAAAACAACTTCGCAGAACATAATGTTATTGAAAACTAATTTGCAATTAACTGATACATAATTTTGCTTAATCATAACGGGGATTATTGCCACGTGCTTGACATTTAATGATTTAATTACACATTTATTATTTGATAATAACTTTTTAATCTAATTAAGCCTTATTTGTAATAGATTAAAACTCATTTTCGATATGTAAAGGGTAACGTAGTAGGTTGCACGTACAAGCGGCACCTGCTTTGATAAAAAATTGTCGATGTGTGAGTTCGTAGAGACCACAGAACATATAAGCCTTCTTTATATGTTCTGTGGTAGAGACGGCCATTTTTAAAAACTGACAGGTCATGGGGCATGAACGTTCTACAGTAAAGACCACGCAAATAGGCAAGCGCTGTTCAGTGCCAAATGGTATATAAGCTATGATGAATCGATCGTGAGAACATATAACTTTTGAATTATCATGTCATATGTATGAAACAATGTAAGTAATTCTAACTTCAATGTATAGTTAGCTATGGTATCTATGTTGACTGGATTTTAGTGTTACATTGTTCTCGCACAATCCAAACAGCAAAACTATGTAACTAGTAAATTGTATTGTGAACCTGATTGAAAAAGAGTAACCTATGGAGTTTCTTGCTCGTTCTTCTCCATAGGAATCTACACCTTGGAATGAGCAAATAGCTTCAGTTTTAATTTTTTTTTTGTTGACGTTAAAAAGTGCCATTCTGGCCTAATTGAAATATATGATTTTGACTTTGACTTTGACTCTGTCGACTCATAGTAATGGAGACATCAACCCACATGGTAGGCAGACGATCTAATAGTCGCAGAGAGCGCTTAGGTACAGGTCAGTTCCAACTGGCAAGTCAGAAGTCATTGGGGGAGGGCCCTATGTTCAGCAGTAGGTACGTTATGGCTGATATGATGGTGATAAGAACGTGTAGTTCAAAGTCAAATCATTTATCAATAGGTATAATTAATGAAAGTTAATCACCAAAATGTTTATTGATGTGCATTACTACTGAACGACTGCATTGAATTGTATAATAATTATTTTAATAGATTTTTGCTATGATGACAAAACTTCTGATGGTATCGCTGGTCAAATGGTTGCAGATTCGATAACCAAAGAAGAGGTATACTGGAGGGAAAAAATGGGAAAGAGGTGATGAACATCAGTGCCGTGGTTTTGTCTTGAGCTACCGAGGCCGGACCACAGCATTTAACTGAGCACTTTGCACTATTAGGACATTTTATTATTAAACGGTTTAATTTACCTTGCCCCGTTTATTTATTTGTTTTATTTATTAATTGCGATTTTACCTCCTTCCTGGTGAGTGATGACAGATAGATCTGATATTTGGTACACACTCTTAGGGACGATGTTTCAACGGATGGACGAACAAGACACGAAGGGAGGAGGGAGGGAGACTGATGCGCTGTGTTGACAGACAGTCATCACGTTTGTATCTAAGAAGCAGCTGCGACGTCGTCCGTCGTCACAAAACTGAGTCGGGCATACAATTCATTGTTCCGCCGTGACGATACGACGCAATGCAGCGCAATGGACAAGTGGGTTATCTAAAGTAAAGGTGAATAGAATCTGTGATGGATGTGACGTGACATGGTTGGAGGAGGATCACTCTTTTCCCCAACCAATTTCTTACTGGCCATAGCAACTTTAAAAGCAAATTGTTCTCATTTAAACTGTCATAACAGCTCACACATAGGACTCACTTAGTTTTTATTCACATTTCTGTGGTGCTTGAGACTGGGCTTATTATTTCAAATTAGCTATTATCGAAATGAATGGTTATGTTGACCTATTTGGCGAGGAAATAGAATAAGGGGGGATGCAGGTGTAGGCAGAGAATACGAAACGCCAATTACTACGATTCCTACATACCTCTTTCGCTTCATCAACAGTCTTCAATCTTTTCATGCATCCTCGTCGGTTAAGGATACTTTTAATTTGGCCCTTCTTTAATATTATATCGCCAATCTGGTCACTATATGTCCGTCTAGGGCGCCCTCTACCGACGGCCCCATTCATATCAGCTCTGTATTCTTCTTTCGTTACTCTACTTTCTTCCATCCTTTCTACATGTCCAAACCAGCGAAACATTCCCTTTTCAATCCTTGTCACTACATTATCTTTCAATCCATACCTCTCTCTAATAACACTATTTTTCACTTGATCACTTAATTTTAGTCCACACATACGTCTATATATAATTCATACATAATTTCATATTCCGTATATAAAACTCGAATAGTTAATAATTATTTATTATATGTCACGAAAGTTATAACATAAATGTAACTATCGTCGAACCCTAACCTCGACAACACGTATCCCCAAAACCGGTGAAAACCAATCTCTAATCTTCAATAGCGTAGAATAGGGATTTATAATAGTAATTCTAGCTTTATCTTAAGCCGTTCCCAATCGTGATAGAATCAAAGATAAATAAGTCTTATCTTTACGAAATTCTTATAAAACCAAGATATTTCTTAAATTTTACCATTCATTCAAGATGAAACTGGTAGCGTTGCTCGCTCTATTCGCTTTGGCTAGTGGCAAACATGAAGAATATATTGGGTCAGTACTATTTTTTATATAACTCATTCAATCATTAGTAATTGTTAAAACTGATTGATCAATCACAAGTAAGTATGATTTATCAATCGTTTTAATAAAATAATTATTGTTTTCTATTATTTTACGACGTTCATTCATTATTTTTCTATTATTAATGACTGTAATATTACGATCTATAGGCTCACCTCGTGTTACATGAGATTCGTAATTTAACTGATTTTAATGTGTGGGTATCCTACTAATATTATAAATTCGATAGTTTGTATGTTTGTTTGTCACTCCTTCACGTCAAAACGGCTGAAAAGATCGGAATTAAATTTCAAACAAACACAAACATGTTTATGTACTTTTCATTCCACGGGACTGTGGGCGAAGCTGATTTAGCAGAATCAGTGTTACTTCTATATGTGCAAATTCTTGACATAAATATTTAAACACTTGACCATATTATATCACATTAGGTATATTACATTTATGCTTTTTTTCTTCTGCTCTTATAGTATCTTCTTTATTTCTTCTGCTCTCATATATTTCGTTACAGGAACCAAGACAGTTATTCATATTCCTGGGATGCGTCGGACTTCAGTAGTTCTAGTGTCTTCATGGTCATTATTTACTGTAGATCCTAGCTTATAGGAGTTGCAGTGGTTTTGAGAGGTTGTGGCGGGCTTCTCCAATAAAAAAATAACATAACATCACGCCTTTTATCCCCGAAGGGTTAGGCAGAGGTGTACATTATACTACTTTATAATGTAACACCCACTTTTCACTATTTATGTTATGAGACCCATGTAATAGAGGGTGAGACTTTTAGCATTAAAATAAAAAATATACTACATTACATTTTACGTTATGTTATAATCTTGTATTACAGATGGAAATCCTATTTCGTGCAGTTGATTGATGACATCCAATCGAAAAGTTTTTTTGCTATAGCGGACAAATATGAAGTGGATATTCTAAGTCATCCAATTATTGGTCGTGAAGGTTTACTCCTGGTGAAGCCAGAATATCATGATGGCTTCATCCAAGATATTAAAGCTGAAGGCATTGCCTACAGATTACATTCAGATGATGTCAAAAGGTAACATTATTAGTTTTAGTTTTAAAAATTGCTTTTGGCATTTAATCTCAGGACCTCTTTGCTATGAATGATGATAATCTATGAGTCTAATAACTCTTAAGTTTTCTGGCTACTCATTTATGATTAACAAGCAAATAGAAGTTAAATTTCTATCATAATCTTTAAAATGATTTTGACAAAAAGTTTTTATATATATGAAATGGTGTATTTAGGTAATTTACTATAATAAAAGTATTACTCTGAATTCGAATTTTAAGGCATATAAATAAATAAGTTTGGTTTTCATAGAAAATATTCAAAAAAATGAGTGACCAGTGCTTTTATTATTCATTTTTATTTTAAGCGCTTCATGCACAATCGTCTACAAGTTGAACTTATTGCACTTAAAGACTTGACAAGATCCCCAAAATGTTGACAAACACGTTCATAATTTTTGATTGCAGCCAACTGGAGTATGATGATATTATGATTGAGCAGCAGAACACAATGTCCAGGATCAGGAATGGAGGACGTCAGCTACCTTACGACAACTACCAAGAAATTGAAGCTGTAAGTAACATTTATACTATATTATATAGATTCCTAGCTTCACCTAGTTTCACTGACGGACTGACTGACAGACTATTATTTATTTTGTATTTGTTGACGTTTCAAAAGTACCAAACTATGGTTTAATTTTTTTAATTGAAATAAATGCTTTGACTTTGACTTTGATATGTTCGATATTATACACACACATAACATCACGCCTTTTATCCCCGAAAGCGTATGCAGAGGTGCACATCACGGCACTTAATGCAAGCGTACAATGTAACACCCACTTTTCACTATTTACGTTATGAGTCCCATGTAATAGGGGGTGAGCCTGTTGCCATATACCGGGCACAATTCCAGACTCCGTGCTACTACTGAGATTTTTTTTAATACTCAGCAACACTTTGTCCGACTCGGGAATCAAACTCGAGACCCTTTGCCCAGCAGTTACACTTACGACCACTCGGCCAACGAGGCAATCGATTTTGAAATTTACAATAGTAGTTAAAATTCTATTCAAAATGACATTAAACCTATTCGTACCAATTTCGTGCAGTGGTAAGATGAAACTCTAAATTTCCACGTACTGTGATAAGATTAGACTTCAATACTTGTATTTATCAAGACCTAGCATCCTACCCGCGACTTTGCCTGCATGAAAATTATAAGCCCCACTTTTATGGGAAAATCGGGAATACAAATTACATATGTATTTCTCACCCTCTATTACATGGGACTCATAATACAAATAGCGAACAGTGGGTGTTACATTGTACAGTGGCATTAAGTGCCGTAATGTGCACCTCTGTTTTTCCCTTCGGGGGTAAAAAGCGTGATGTGATGTACAAATTACATTTTGTTGTGCTCTTATGACGTAGCTAGAAAAGAAATTACCATTTTATAAAATCTATAATATAAACTCTATAAACTACGGTCACCTGATGGTAAGCAATCGACGCCCGCAACACAAAAAGTACATTGCCGGAGTTTTGCAGGTCCAGGGTTATAGAACCAATAACAAACAGACACAAATTTTCTCTATACCAGTTTTCACTTCGTGTGGCAACGATATCAGTAGTAACTGATATGTATGAAGATTAGAAGTGGCGAGTTTTTTCTTAACCTCGTCAGAAATGAGTGCCTAAGGATGTGTATACAGCTGGCTTGAGTCATGTGCGAACTGCATAAAATTATTATTCATACGAGCCTTGCATAAGTTGCACTAAAGAGGTATACATTGCAGTGACTGCATTCGCGCGGCTTGCAAACTGCTCGCGTGCTACACATTTGCGGCACATTAGCAACATAGAATTCGTTAGAAACAATAAATTACAAAGATATAATAATGAAGAACTCGGCTAGATTCGACAGTTACTAATCTGTGTCAAGGGTGGTCCATGTCTAATAATTTATAATCCTATCAATTATTAACACTTCCAGTAGTCGCTAAATGCGTAATGAAATCAAAAAAGTTACCAACAAATCATGGCCAATTCGTAATGAAGCGAAAGAGGTATGTAAGAATCGTAGTAATTGGCGTTCCTTAGTCTCTGCCTACCTTCATGGGAGACAGGCGTGAAGTTATGTATGTATGTATGTATGTATGTACATATGTATGTATGTATGATACCAGTACAAAGATTATTGTCCATGACGACAACGCGTCATTAGAAGGATTAATGCATCCTAGAAATAAAAATAGGTGGCCTATAAATGCTAATTGCTTCTATCGTACTTAGAGACAATGAAAACTGACCACAAACCTGCAACTTTATCCGCCTAACGCCTCATGCATTCGACAAATAGCGTAGACCTAAAAGATCTTGAAAGTAACAATCAAGTTTACAAGTCTGTAATCGTGATAAATGTTCTTCATGTAACAGTTATGTGTTCATCTATACTTTTTTGGTCTCTTTCAGATCAATGATTACATGGACAGCATCGGTAGACAATACCCTGACATCGCTACTGTAGTGAACGCTGCCCAGTCTTTCGAAGGTCGTCCCATTAAATACGTGAAGATCTCCAATTCTAACTTCGAAGATGAGAGCAAACCCGTCATCTTCATTGACGGAGGCATTCACGCGAGGGAATGGATCTCTCCTCCTACCGTTACCTGGGCCATTCACAAACTGGTTGAGGACCTGACTGAGAGCGACCTTTTGGATAACTTCGACTGGATCCTCCTGCCTGTAGTCAACCCTGATGGATACAAATTCACTTTCACCAATGTAAGTATAAGTTCAATTCTTTTTTCGTCTTGTTTGGGTATTTTAAGATTCAAAATAAAACAATCTTCATTAGCAGACGAATTAATTTCAATAAAAATCCCAATACGTTTTCAACGGTAAAGTAATCTTACAAATCACAATTCAACTTGACACCTATTTCATGATATCTATCAAGGTATCATCACGAAAGATAAAAGATTAAGTACGCTGAAAATACTTCTGTCTACTTAACGATGTTGAACCAATACACTAAAAATTCCTTTTGTCTACTTTCAGACCCGCTTCTGGCGTAAAACTCGTTCGACTGATCAGAATGTTCTCAGTGGTATTTGTCCAGGGGTGGATGGCAATCGAAACTACGACTTTTTCTGGAATACCGTCGGTACTAGCAACTCTGCATGCTCCGACATTTACGGTGGATCCAGGGCCTTCTCTGAAGTCGAAACCAGGGTAGTAAGGGACATCTTACACGAGCATCTCCACCGCATCGCCCTATACATCACCATGCACAGTTTCGGCAGCATGATCTTGTATCCTTGGGGGCATGATGGTTCCTTATCCCACAACGCTCTTGGGCTTCACACCGTCGGCATAGCAATGGCAAATGCCATAGACCAACATTCCTTAACTCAATTCCCGAGATATGTGGTTGGTAACTCAGCGCTGGTTCTCAATTACCCTACGTCGGGAGGGGCTGAGGATTACGCCCATTCGATTGGAGTACCCTTGGCTTACACCTTCGAATTACCTGGACTGTCCAACACCATGCAAGGTTTCAATCTAAACCCTAGGTATATTCAGCAAGTATGCAACGAGACATGGGAAGGTATTGTAGTTGGAGTTAGACGAGCTGGTGATCTGTTCAAAAATAAAAGACTGTAATTTATTTATTACTTGTGTGGTTTTATTTTATTTGTTTCAAATTGGTAAGACTTGGTGACTTCCGTAAGAGACCGGGCAGCACAGATAAATCTGAACCTTTCCAATCCTTCTGCCGTGTCGTGGTAGCTCGTAGGTTAAACATGTATGAGATAACAGATTTCAAACCTACCAACAGCAAATACCAATGTGACTTTCTCCGAGTTATATACGGTGAAGGAAAACGTCGTGAGGAAACCTGGGCTTATAATTTATAATTATAAGTTTGAAATCACCAACCCGCATTAAGCAAGCGTGATTAATGCTCAATCCTTCTCCGTTTGAAAAGAGGCCTTTGGTCAGCAGTGGCCACTTACAGGCTGTTGATGTAATGAATCCTCCTGCCAAGCGTGGAGATTCCTGGGCTCGCTATCATTGCAAGCGGTAAGTCATTTAGTTCAGGAGTGGCTTGAGAGACGTTAGGCGGCCTCACTTTCCACCTGACGCATGTGCTTTAGCGGACACAAAACTTTCGATAGGTTCGTGTTTCGGATTGGACGGGAGGAAAAGTCCGGGTGGACACGGTGGAGTATACGGTGGCGGTGTATACTCCACCGCCTGTGTGATTGTGATGTGATTGACGACGGTGACCTCTCGCATCGGGCTCTGGTTTAGACTATGGTACGGAGTGTGGGGGACTGGGATGTCATCTTCTCCTTCTGCGAAGCAGTTATGCTAGCTAAGAAGGAGGCGTGGCGCGTGAGGAACCAACCTCCTTACGCCCCAGCCGTCACGAGAGACGCTATACGACGACCAGCCGGATGGGGCCCATTAGGACTTATGCCGATGGGGACCCGCGGAGGATTTCACGGGTTGCCGGGGATCTGGCTCGAAGTGCAGGAGTAAGAACGGGGTGGTATTTAGTCAGTAAGAGTCCTACACTCCCCCCAACCTCACGCAGGCGGGAAAAGTAATTCGACGATTTTCCATCTTTAAAAAAATCCGGTATAGTTACTTGTCGTACTTTATCTCAGAGCCATGCAGTGCCATCTGTTTTCGTTTTTATTGTTAAAACAATTTTTGTTGGAGTCGATTGAACTGATTAAAGACTTATCAGTTCTATATTTTGTGGCATTTTCACTAGATGGCGTTGTAGAGTGTTATTTTAACTTTAAATGACATTTTAAAAAAGATAAATACATAACTTATATATACATTTTTAAAACCCTGTATTACAGATGGAAATCTTACTTCATACAGTTGGTTAATGACATTTGAACCAAACTTTTTTTAATCATAGCGGACAAATATGACACGGGCTAAATCACCTATTCCTCGCATTCTGGCCGCGCTCAATGGTCTCTTGGATTCTTAACCAACTAATGATATGTTTGCTGGCAGATGGAAGGAGATTCTGTCGTAATGTCTGAAGTACTGCGAGAGAAACAATGAATCCTGTTTACTCATATTTTAAGTAAGTTTTACTTTTCTTTTTCGTTGTGTGTAATGCTTATGTTTTGTGCTAGTTATTATTTCGTCTTTCATTGACAGTAGAAAGTATGTCAGTTACTGTAATTGATTTTCTACAGTTGTGACTGTTTAAAATGAATAAAAATACTTGAGCTCCTTCGGGGAAGTACTACCACCATCGCTTTTTCTACACGCGACTCATATACTGAAACGCTACTCAATTTGAGTCGTGCTCAAGTATAGTTCTGTCTCTATAAAATCTTTGTAAAATGACAGAGATGGCATGATATTTAAGTACAACTTCAAATTGAGTAGCCCTTCAGTATTCGGGCGTTAGTGCTATCTTTCACAATTTTCAAGTATCCCAACCCAATCCCAATCCCAATCCCAAGTTGATGTCGATTGAACTGATTAAAGATTTATCTGTTTACAGAACATAAAATATAGCGGGTTACTTACGTGAATATACTGAGAAAAGCTCTAAGAACCCCTCTGTGGTTCGAAACTAGTAGAGTTATTCTCAGTATATTCACGTAAGTAACCCGCGATTTTTTAGTTAATTTAGTATGTCTCACGATAGTTATCATAAGTTCTGTAGTTTGTTATATATCTCACTAACATTTTCTCAAAGATTTGCAATAATGTTATAAATCTAGTATTTAGTATTTATAGCCCGTTTTTGCCATTTTTATTTTTTCAAGACAAAATTACATACCTCTATTTCGTAAAGTGCACAGTCAAAATTACATTTCAAGTAAGTTAGTAAAGTAATAATGCAACCTTTTTATAAATAAAACATATATTTATTTACTTTAGATCACATATGTACAGGATTGACAAAATGACAGTCTTCACATTTTTACATTGTAAGATCTGAATACAAACTATTCATACCTCACAGAAAATTAAGATGGACAAATAGCATTAGTTTCACTTAAACTTAAACTACATTTTTACTTATTTTAAACTTGAGCCATTTTTTTAGCAACAAACAATTCTCCAGCTCTTCTTGCGCCTACAGCAATACCCGCCCAGGTTTCTTGAACGACCTGTTCAATGAAACGAGGATCTAAGTGGAAACCCTGGGTGCCCCAACCAAAGCCAGGCAGTTCATAAGTATAGGATAGAGGCACTCCAATGTAATGCGCATAATCCTCCGAAGACCCAGAAATGAACGACCGAAGAACAAGAGCTGAGTTTCCAACGACGTATCTTGGGAAGTTAGACAGAGCTTTATCGTGGATAGCAGCAGCCATGTTTATACCAACAGTGTGGAGTCCAAGGGCATTGTGGGACAAGGAACCATCATGACCCCAAGGATACAGGATCATGCTGCCGTAACTGTGAATGGTAAGGTACAAAGCCGTACGAGCCAAATGTTCATGAAGAATATCTCTGACTACTCTGGTTTCTACTTCTGAGAAGGCTTGAGTGCCAGGGTAGACGTCGCTGCAAGGATTCCAGGATGTACCGACAGTGTTCCAGAAGAAGTCGTAGTTGCGGTTGCCATCAGTTCCAACACAGGTTGGCATAGTAGGGTGGATGGAACGAGTCTTACGCCACATTCGTTGCTAGAAAAAGAAAATTAAATAATTATGAATTGTGATAACTTTGCAAATTGCTAAGATAATAATTATTTCTATTCATTGAGATAAAGCTTTGTGGCGACGCATGCCACATGTCAACGGATGACGTCACAAGAATCCTACATCGCACATGCAAAGTTTACAAGCGAATAAACACAGATAGAAAATCCCAACGAACAACTGTTGGGCAGAAACCCCGCCAGGCACGATCACCTCGCCTGGTCGGAGGATCCTCCTTTTCCGATCTTAGGGAACTATACTCTCTGTTCCTAAAGCTTAAAGCAGAAGTGATAGGCGTGGTAAAACTTACATTGGTGAAAGTGAATTTGTATCCATCAGGGTTGACTACAGGCAGGAGGATCCAGTCGAAGTTATCCAAAAGGTCGCTCTCGGTCAGATCCTCAACCAGTTTGTGGATCGCGTAGGTAACGGTTGGAGGAGAGATCCATTCCCTCGCGTGAATGCCTCCGTCAATGAAGATGACGGGTTTGCTCTCATCTTCAAAGTTTGTGGATGAAATCTTGACGTACTTGATGGGACGGCCTTCGAAGGACTCAGCAGCGGTCACGACGGTAGCGATATCAGGGTATTCAGCACCAATGTAGTCTAGGTACGCGTCAATCTAAAAAGAAGGAATTGATTTAAAAACTGACAATTTATTTGTGATGAACAATTGTTGCGTTGGTGATATAATTGAATATTTTCATTAAACTAAGAAAATGATTTTACTGCTGCTCACTGATATAATGCAGAATTCGAAAACTATTCTTAATTATTCAGCCTTAAAGTTATACTCTGAATTTATGAATATTTTAGTAAACCTACCACTTCGAGTTCTTGGTAATTGTCATAAGGAAGCTGACGACCTCCATTCCTGGCTGCTGAGGACCTTTTTTGCATCTCGATAAGATAGTCATCGTAATCCAGCCCCCTGGTTAAAATAAGAATATTACAATGCATCAATGATTTTCACCATAAGTAGGAACTTGATGTTGGTGATATATTTCGTCAGTAGTTAATTATTATACTCAAGCTGGAAAAAATCTATGTGATTCTGATTATATTTAGCACTTATAATCAAAGATTTAATTAGTAAAAAGCTTTTATCTGTACCACAAAAAGTACTTCGTAGATCTTACTTTTTCAAATCATCAGCATGAACTCTGTAAGAGATGCCAGCAGCTTCGATCTCCTTGATAAAACCTGCTTGGTGTTGAGGTTTGACCAGCACAACTCCTTCACGGTTCAGGAGCGGGTGAGATAGGAAGTCCAGTTCATATTTCTCAACCAAAGGTCCCAATGCCTCAGACTGTTCTGTAGTGGTGACTCCTACATAGTAGGATTTCCATCTGAAAAGTAATCGTTCTTTATTTTATTAGTCTGTATTGTATAAAAAATTGAACTCAACAAGAAATAAAGGTAATATCTGCCTGCAACTGTTCCACAAAGAGAAAAGAAAATCAATGATCAGCACATTTGTTCAACGCAGATTGGTGATTTTGGAATCCATGTTATTTCATTATTAAACTCACATACTACATAAAATTATACCAGTAACTGTTTACGATGTTATTAAAGATGGAATAGGAATTAACAATGACACAGAAGTTTATTTGATCATACAACAAGAAAGAAGTGCCAATATTTGAGAAATGGCTGGCAACTGATAAGCTTGCATTGAATATCATTGAGGTCTATATAGACAGGTCTATACTTTACTAAACGATATTAAACGCAATGTAAAACTAGACATAAAACCATAAAACCAGAAAAAGTTGGTAAAGATGAATGTATTGATAGGAATACAAATGATAAAAGATATAGAAAAACAAACCAACCCAATATATTCTTCATGCTTGGCATAAGCCAAAGCAAGTAAGGTCACCACGACTAGGAATTTCATTTTGACAATGCCCACGATATTAGATCTATCCAAATAAATATAAGTGTGTAAAATGATAAAAAAGCTTATCTAAGAGATAAGGTAAGACATTAAGTAGTGATTACTAAATACGGGATTGGGAAAATCTTAAAATGATTAATCGATTATTATTGTTGTCGTCTTATGTGATCCCACATCATTACCATGAAAAATTCATGGCGATTTTTCTTCGTTATGGGGAATTTCATTCTATGAATATGTATATATATCCTTAATTACGATTCTATGTCTTACTTTGATACTAATAATATATTATTTAATGTATGTCTGTCCGTTTGTTTGTTAATTTATTGTCGCCCTTTAACATAAAATGAGCAACTATCTAAAAAAGTAAAAAAAAAAGTAAAAGTAAAATGAAAACAGAGGACACTTTTTTTAAGGGGGGTTAATCATCGAATAACTGCTTCCGCCCGGGTGAGGCGAGAGGAAGTGACTCTTACTGACTAAAACCTACCCCATTCCTTCTCCTGCACTTCGAGCCGGAGCCCCGGTAACCCGTTAGGTTCTCCGCGACTACGAATCCGCATCAGCCCTATTGGGACCCATCCGTGTTGGTCTGATAGCACTTTCAGGCGCGCGCGGAATGCGACGCGCCCTACGCCCCGGGTCTGGTTCTGGTCGGGCGGCAAGTCACCCATGCTCGCCGTCTCCCGGAGTGTCCTTCGCGATGGCTGGGTTGCGAGGAGGCAGCGCTTCGCTGCCTCACGCGTCCCGCCTCCTCCTTAGCTAGCATGACTGCTTTGCAAAAGGAGGAGACGGCATCCCAATCCCCCACTCGCTCCGCATCATGGCCCGCACTAGGGCCGGACGCGAGGGGTCGCCATCGCCGATCACGGCCCTGAGGGCACGGCGGTGCTCAGCCCACGCAGGGCATTTCGCTACAGTGTGTTCCACCGTGTCTTCAGAGCGGTCTTCGCAGTGTGATATCCGGGCGATTCCTCCCGCCCCATCAGACACAGGTACCTCCCGAAACTTCCATGTCCGGTGACGACCTGCGTCAGGCGGAAAATGAGGACTCCGTACCGTCTGTCAAGCCACTTCTCAAAGAGAGGACTTACCGCTGCAATGGCAGCGAGCCCAACCCTCGGTTGCGACAGTCGTTGCCGCCATGAGATCGCGCCGGAGTTCATCCCGTCACACACCTATCTGGCGCGGCAGTGGAGTTTCGCCCCGGCGACGTGTCTCCGCGCGCATGCGATACCGGCACGCGAGGACTTTTGCCGCCTACCCGGAGTTCGTGAGGTATCCGCGGATCATTCGGATAGCCATGAACCTCTGTGACATGAGCAGCGCCCGAGCGGGCCGCCGCATCAGGTTCGGCGCCCACACAGGAGCCCCGTAGAGGGTCATGGACCGCAAAACCCCGGCGTATAACCTCCTGCAGGAGGCGTTTGGCCCCCGAGGTTAGGTAAGAGGCGCTTAAGTGCCGCCCCCGTCCTCTCCAACTTTGTAGCCAAACGTCGGAAGTGCTCTACGGAGTTCCACCGAGGATGAGTTCCAGCCTCCAGGTACTTCATCGTCGTCTTGACGCCGATGGTAACCCCTCCCGCCGTTATTTGGGATTCACCGGCACACGGCATCGGACTTGTGGAGCGCCACCTTGAGTTCCAATTACCAATTGTCTCTCAACGACTGTCGCAACCGCATTCGCCATTAAATCGGCCGCCGCCTGGTGCGACCTGGTGGTTTCACTCCGGTCGAGCCGGCCCATTCGTGCCGAAGCATGGCTCTCCCACACTTAAAATCAAAAGAGATTTTTATCCACATTGATAAGCTTTTCATTTCGAAAATTTTAAAGGGCATTGCCACGCAGCCCAATCCGTGAACAACCACTAGTGTTATTTAATTTACCTAATTCCAATGAGTAACGATACATTATCAAGAATAAACAGTATCGGCGCTTTAGTCGTAGTCAATGATAACATTAATGTTAAATCATTAGGTACTTTTAGGTCCAGTTTCACCATCCCCTGTTAAATATTTAAAGTATTGTTAAGTCAGTTAACGGGCTGTTAAAGTTATCGAGTGTCCCACCACGAGTTAACGCGCTTTTATTTGTCATAACAAGCTGTTAAATTTAATCACCGCTCTAGACGTCCGTTAGACCGTAACAGACAATTAAAATCGAGATGGAGGCTGCATACAATTTCATATTCGAAAATTATATTTTAGATTATTTAGATTACTTAGACACAATAGTACGACGTCCAAGAATTTTTAAAGAACGGCGTTCTTATTTCGACGAATACGACGATGTAGATTTTTGTACCAGATTCCGTTTATCTAAAGAAACTTCAAAAGTGCCTTTCTGGTCTAATTGAAATAAATGATTTTGACTTTTGACTTTTGACTTTGAAACAACCCTAGATATTCTGCAGTTGATTGAAGATAAATTGGAATATCCATCAGATCGGTAAGTTTATATATTTGGTCGTATTAGTTAGGTGCCTAAAATTATTTTCAATAAGTAATTGTACGTATGTGCAATTACCTGGCACCAGTATAAAACAAACCTAACCTATCCTTAATTTTGTTTCAGGAATGAATCAAATTCTCCCATTAATCAAATTCTTTTGACCTTGAGGTATTATGCAACTGGCTCTCAACAAATAACAGTGGGAGATTATTGTGGGATAAGTAAGTCGTCATCTCATAGAATAATACACAGGGTCACTGCTGCAATAGCCTCCCTTAGCCCCAAATTTATCCAATTCCCTAATACTGAGGAAGAAATAAGAAAAACTCAGAAGAGTTTTTAAATTTGAAATTGAACTCGTTTGAAATTGGTCGCGTAGCACAACTAATGACGTATTATACGACTAGATAAAATATTACCGAACTCGGCCTAAATAAATTGTCACAAAAAACCATTTCAATTTGGTTGCTTAAAATAAGAGTGAACAACTTACAAGTCGTTCAGTTAAATATACAGTTTAATAACGGCTTGTTACTTTTTTCTCGTGGGACATACAATGATATAACAGCCCGTTAATTATTAACAACTCATTAGTTAATGACTAATTAGGATTTAACAAACACAGTTTGGTGAAACTGGACCTTAATCTCTTCATTTAGATATTAACATTTTGTCATAAGTCGCGTGCCCTCGACTGATGACAAAAATTAATTTTGATCGTCCTTAAATTAAAAGTGACTCGCCTTATATAAAGTAGGCTTTACATAGAATAGATTTAGGTGTTACTTTGCAGAAATCCATGCCACACTAACAACTGGGAAAATATTTCGTTTTAAGGCACGAATTTGCGGCCGCAGATAAATGCTTATGCAGAGATGCGATGCAAAACACACACATCATCATCATCATAATCAACAGCCTGTTTTCGTCCACTGTTGGACATAGGCCTTTCCAATGGCACGCGCATACTCTACGCATCTAACCACTACCAGCCACTTTACGTATATCATCACTCTATCTAGCTGGAGGGTGCCCTACACTACGTTTGCCTAGACACACGACTCGCGATATTTGCGAAAACACACACACACACACACACGATGCACAGCAAACACGCCGGTAGTGTAAAGTAGACTGTCTAAGTATGTCACAAAACAACGCAGCAAAATGTTGCTTAACAATAATTGTAATTCCTTGACAGCCCTTCATTAAACGTATACCAAAACTTAAACCCCTTACTATATCGTCAGATTCCAAAATCTCATATATCAGTCAAGTAACTCGCGCAATGCATTGTATTCATTACATTCATGCAGTCGCTACATGTTTCTATTTTATGGGATAAACCGGTAAACCAGTAGACGGAGCACCTGATGGTAAGCAATTATCGTCGCCAATGGACACCCAGAACACCGCGCTATAAGTGCGTAACCGGCCTTTTAAGGATTAGGAATTTGAGGATGGTTGGTGATTCAGGGAGATTGGGGAAGGAGGCCCCTCCTCCTGGGTAAATGGGCCGCCAGTCACTTTAATCACATAACGAAACACAACGCAAGCGTTATTTCACGTCGACTTTCTCTGAGGCCGGTCGACCGGCCCATTCATGCCGAAACATGGATCTCCCACACTTAAGAATGAATAGAAGTGCCTTTTACATAATTTCCATGGTTAGCAGACGAGTAAAAGATTATAATATTAAAGGATTATAATTGTAAAGGCTAGATTTGTGTCAAAACGATCATAGTACAGGGTTCGTGCATCGTGTGCTAAACTAAAATAGTCGACTTTTAGACTCCTTCACACTCCTCATGCCCTATGGCTTTTCTATCGACTTTTATTTTACTAAAAAAATACTCGAATTTTACATTTGAGTACAAGTTTTACAAAGGAAGATGTGTGTAATAAATACCTAAGTCACGTAATAAATAATGTTGACACGTGACAATTAATCACTAAACACGTTTATTATCTAGTTACAAACATTATTACAAACTAGCTTTTACCCGCGGCTTCGCTCGCGTCACAAAAGGATTAAAAGTAGCCTATGTGACATATATACCAATACACACAGTGCCATCTATACCAATAATTTTGTTTTCCCTCGGGAATATCAAATTTTTCAGGATTAAAAAGTACCCTATTCTTTAATCCAGACTTCTAACTTTACGTCGGCAAAAATTCTAATCAATCGGTTTAGTAGTTACGGCGTCAAAGCGGAACAAACAAACAAACTCACTTTCCAATTTATAATATTAGTAAAGATTGGAATATCTTATTGATAATTATTGATAATTACTGAAGGTACATACTTGATAATTAATCCGCGGAGATTACGGCAGATGTCGCTAGTTACGTAAATGATCGTCTAACGTTCTCTTTTGATTTTTTCTTATACCAGCTAGTATTTTTTTTTTTGAGATGAATATAACTTAATAAATAGAAAGAAAGACAAACATTTATTCGGCACATTGGATGCACAAAGATGTAGACACAAATTAAAACAAAAAATATTTCTTTTAGTTTATAAAAGAAATATTATCATATTATTAATAAAAGAAATACTTAAGGTCACTCAGCAGGTCACCGAAGGATCAATTCCCCATCTCACCAATCCCTGAATCCGCAACAATCCTCAAAAGGCCGGTAACGCACTTGTATCGCCTCAGGTGTCTACGGGTGACGACGATTGCTTACCATCAGGAGATCCGTCTGCTCGTTTCCCGGCTGATCTCATAAAAAAGTCAACGTTTCGCCATTAACTTGCTTGTTAGTAAGTCATAATAATTATGGCCAACGATGACGATAACTTTGAGCAACCAACTCGGGACTTGAAGACACAAAGGTTGTATTGCTACTGCTGAAAACAGACTCTGGCAAGGTTTTTATAACAACTACCGTTAGACATACTACACTAACTAAAATCGCGGGTTACTCACGTGAATATACTGAGAAAGGTACCGCCGGAGTTGGGAGCAAACGCTCGTGGTGTCCGGCAGAGGGCGCGTTGGGCTCGCAGCGCAAGTAGCACCGATACCATTGAGCGACATCACCGCGACCGCACACGCTGCTCATGAGGAAGAACCCCTCTGTGGTTCGAAACTAGTAGAGCTTTTCTCAGTATATTCACGTGAGTAACCAGTGATTTTACCTCTAGAATCTGGCAATGTATTTTATTTCTCTAAAGTTCTCATAAAGAAACTCGAATAAGCGTTATTTCTATGCTTCGTATGAATTTGTCTTACGTTTAAAGTAGTCGAAACGAGTATGCGTCGACATTCTGATTGGTGGGTGCATTGGAGCCGGCCAATTAGAGCGCCCGCCGAATGCGTACTCGTAACTCGTACTAAGACATCAGGCTTAAGTCTATTGATCCTGTATCCTGATCATTATCTTTATATCATACACCTACTTATACCAGATATTTCCCGATTGCAAGATAATATTTCAAAATAATTCATGAAAGGCCATTCTTATCATAATAACAGAAATTGTTGATTAGAAACTAATACGTAAGTATCTCTTATCCGTTTAATTATCAGATCTTTTAGGCCATAAAATCAATTGATCTGAGTTTTCTAAAAGTATTTGTAAATTGTGCTCCAAAGGGGTCACATTCAAAATGAAGTATTTACTACTGGTCTGTTTGTTTTATGGTGTCTTAGCCAAACATGAACTCTATGATGGGTATGTATTCTTAACATATTTTATTACTAGGATAGTATTCTTGCTATGTTAGTCGGATTTAGTATTTATTTTATTTACTAGCTTCTGCCCGCGACTTCGTACGAGCAATCCCACTTTCCCCCGTTCCCGTTCGTGATTTTCAGTAAAAAGTAAAAAAAAGTATTGTATAAAAAGTACCCTATGTCCGTCTAATGGTTCTAAGCTACCTCCCTACCAATTTTCATCTAAATCGATTGAGGCGTTCTTGAGTTATAAATAGTGTAACTAACACGACTTTCTTTTATATATATAGATTTAATTGGTAAGCTTTGTCTCTTACATAGAGATGTAAAAGACAATTCATTAACTCGTCGAGTACCGGTTTTATAGACACAATTAAAGAACAATAGGTCGCGGTCACCGGTGACCGCTTGGTGTTTGACAGTTTAATTATTTTGTAATTTTTACCTTTCAAATAAGTTATTTAATCTTTATTGTAAACCATAAAATACATTAAACTTCGAAATTATCTTAACTAACTTACCTATAGTGTGTTAATGACTATATGTATGTGTCCATAATATATGTATATATATAATATATGTATAATATTTTTATAAAAAAAAAAAAAAAGAAAGAAATTGGGGATGAGTTTATGTGTATTCCGGGCATAATTCCAGACTCCGTGCTACTACTGACTTTTTTTTTAAAAACACGGTAATACTTTGCCCTACCCAAAATCAAACGCGAGACCCCTTGCCCGGCAGATGCACTTGCGGTCAACGAGGCAGTCAGTTTAGTTTAATAATGTTAGAAATACTTACTAATACAATCTCAAAACTGTTGCAATCTTGTCAATACTTATGAGTCTGTAAGATCCATTCTGCCTAACCCATTAAAGAACAGACGTGATAATACGAAAGTTTTCTCAACACGTTTTCTTTCTTTACAGGCATGCTGTTTACGAGATCGATGTCCATTCTGTAGAACAAACGAAACTGGTTCATGACTTTGAAAATGATTTGCTTCTGGATATCTGGTCGCATGCTGTACCTGGTCATCCAGGAAAGGTCCTCGTCCCTAAAGTCAAAAGAGACATTTTCGAAAACTTCCTAGTGCAAAATGGTGTGCAATACAAAGTCGAAACAGAGAATATTAAAGAGTAAGTCTAAGCTCTATAATTAACTACTAGCTACTTCCGCGCGGTTTCGGTCGGCGCCTATTAATCGTAGCGTGATATTTTATAGCCTATAGCCTTCCTCGATAAATGACCTATCCAACACAGAAAGAATTTTTCAAATCGGACCAGTAGTTTCGGAGATTAGCTTTATAATATTAGTATAGATTATTTTTTTTAAAATATCCTACACAATGAACACACAAAGACATATTATTCTAAAACATGTGTACATGTGCTTAGAAAATAATAAACACGAACCTCATTCGTTGCTCAACAATCTAATTAAATTCTTAATCTTTTAGGCAATTGGACAAAGAAGATGAACTTCTAGCATCTGCTGCAGAGAGGAGCAATAGTTCGCGCATCGGCTTTGAAAGAATGCACACCTACGAAGAGGTAGGCATAAATGCAAATAAGAAATATTTTTAACAGTATTTACCATCTACATCATCATAAACAGTTACGTCACTAAACTATTTGGATTTTCGCAGGTTGATGCCTATTTAGACGAACTAGCAAGAGATTACCCAAATTTTGTATCTGTGGTCCTAGGAGGTAGAAGTGTCGAAGGCAGACCCATCAGGTACCTCAAGATTTCCACCACCAACTTCCAGGTAAGAACTAAAATTCGATAACCTAAAAAAAGTTATCTTTCGGTGTAATTGTAGTCAATATTTGACTTATAAAAAAGAAGTCTATGAAGAAACTGTAGATGCTCGCATCGCAGAGGAGATGTCAGCAAAAAAGAAATTTTATAACATTTGTTTTTCGCTTTTAGGATACCAGTAAACCAATTGTGATGATGCAGTCTCTTCTTCACTGCCGGGAATGGGTCACCCTGCCAGCAACTCTTTACGCTATCCGAAAGTTGGTTGTCGATGTCTCAGAATCCGACCTTGTCCAGAACATTGACTGGATAATTTTGCCTGTTGCCAATCCTGATGGATATGTCTTCACCCAAACCGTAAGTAATCCCTAGGATATAACAAGATCTACCAATAAAGCTTATGTCTAGATTGAGCACTAAATACAATGATAGGTTAAGTTCAGGAAACTATAAAACCGTGACATAGAAATTAGTTTGTGAAACCTGAGAGCTAATAGATAGTTATCCTAATAGACATAACATAACACATAACATCACGTCTTTTATCCCCGAAGGGGTGGGTAGAGGTGCACATAATGCCACTGCACAATGTAACACCCACTTTTCACTATTTATGTTATGAGTCTCATGTAATAGGAGGTGAGCCTATTGCCATATACCGGGCACAATTCCAGACTCCGTGCTACTATTGAGACTTTTTTAAAAACCCAGTATTACTTTGCCCGACCTGGGAATCGAACCCGAGACTGGACTGAACCCTGGCCCGGTAGTCGCACTTGCAACCACTCGGCCAACGAGGCAGTCTAGTCAGAGACAGTTTTATCCTAATAGTGTATATGATTAAGAAATAGGTAGAAACTGTCCGATTTTCAACATCAACAAGATACCTTAGATAGACCATTTGGATACTACCTAGAAGTAATCTATCGTCACCAATTCACTTCATTAGTACTACCACAAAATAATCCGGAAAATCGTACTTGAGGAAGTAATAATTTGTAATTATATGTTTAATAGCTCCTTTATCAATATCTTCATTTATTACAAATTGATCGTTGTAATCAATAACGTAAGGTAAAGCAAGTAAGTCATAATTAACATCCGCTGACGAAATTCCTAATGAATTGGTATTAAAATTATCAGTGAGTTCATACGAATGTAATTTTTGAAAAGGTCAACTGAGATCTTTGCATTAGCATCACTGTAAAGTTAAACAATAATATATAACCGTTCTCAAATAATATAATACTTCACATTACCTTTTTGCCAGTTATGTAATGAGACAATTTAGTAGGTTATGGGTCAATTCATGAAGTTTTTGCAAACTCAAACTGAGACAGAAAACAAAAACTATTATGCTACATCAAATATTCAAGGAAAGATAGACAAAGTATGAACAAAGGCTTATAGATTACAAAAGTCCCAGCAAAATTTTATCTTTCAGAAACATAATAGCATTAGAATGGGTTTCTATCATTATTAAACCACTGGTCATAAATATAATCCTCTTAAAATCCTTCAAAATACGTGACGAATTGGAAATGCCCGCGTATTTTCCTTAATTACTTACTAGTCATTAGCAGCTACTTACGTTTTCTTCAAGATAATAATTGATATCCAACTAAGTCATTATTTTCACTATAGATTACTTCTTGTTTTTATTATTCTACGTAATACTAGAGGTACTTATTGTTGTAATCACTAGATAATTTATTTTGACCAATCATTGTCAACCTTTTTAAATATAACAAATAGGAGCCGACCAGTAGTAGGAGTATGGTCCAAGCCACCGGTGGTTAGGGCTCCAGAAACAGAAACCTCCTCAAGATACGTGCCTTTTCTAGGGGAACTGCCTTCTGTATCAGGTCCTTGATCAATCCATCTAACGCCAGCCTCCTGATATCGATGTCGGGGCTTTTAGGGATTAACCCATTAGCCGACTCGACTATCGGCACAATGATAGCCGAATCCACACTACACATGTCGACCACCTCGTGAGCTAAGTCTAGATATTTTATTTGTTTATCTTTCTCAGCTTTCACGAGGTTCTCGTCATGCGGAATGGTGACATCGATTATCATCGTGCGGCGTACTTGTAGGTCTATCACCAGGATATCAGGTTTATTGGCTACAATAGTCCTGTCAATGAAATAGATCTGTCACAGTACAATGTGATATGGTCATTTTCTAGAACTGGATGGTGTATATACTTGCAGTACGGTACCTCAGATTCGACAATTTGATAGTTCAAAGCAAGTTGCTGATGGATAATCTTGGCTACCTAATTATGCTTATGCAAAAATTATTATGAACATCAAAATCAATAGTGAATTTTTGAAAACTATCACTCCCTTTCCTATTTTTGCCTCATTATAAGCAGTTAAAAACTAGGAGTAAAATCGTCACACCCTTAATAAACCCTGTTCCCCTCTTTTACAGGATCGTTACTGGCGCAAGAACCGTGCTACTCGCTACATGATTGCCAACCGTTGTCCTGGCGTGGACCTCAACAGGAACTTCGGCCATGGTTGGGGCACAGCATCTAGTTCTAATCCTTGTCAGGACACCTTCCATGGAGCAGGAGCTTTCTCTGAACCAGAAACTGAAGTCATTCGGGACATAATTTTGGAACACAGCAGTCGTATGGCCTTGTACCTCGACATTCACAGCTTTGGAAGTATGATCCTCTATGGCTACGGTGACGGTGTCCTCCCACCACATGCCCTACAACTGAATTTAGTCGGTGTCCAAATGGCTCAAGCCATCGACAGAGTCAAGTGGCCCTCCAATAGGAATTACATCGTTGGAAACATTTTCCATGTTCTTTATGCCGCTTCTGGTGGTGCTAGCGACTACGCAATGAGTGTCGCTGCTCCTTACTCTTACACCTATGAGTTACCAGCTTATAGGAACAGTGCATGGTTCGATGGTTTCTTGGTAGAACCAGCTTTTATTGAACAGGCTGGGTATGAGACATGGGAAGGTATCAAGGTAGGCGCTAGGGCCGCTGCTGCTGCATTCAGAAACGGAAAAGCTGTGTAAGAATATAGTTTTAAGACTAACGACTGATATACTGATATATTAATTTATAGATAAAATAAAATGTAAAAATTTAATTCAGTGTTTCATTAATTTGGTTACCAATTCTTCTAGCCATTTTTACTAGATATCCCAGTTTCATGCACTCTCGAAGTAGTCACTTATTTGGAAGAATACGTCACAAGATTTTAATATTATCGACATCCCGCTTCGCCTCATCACTACCCGCGAGGTTTTCCACGAATGGTAATGTGGCTTGATTCCGGCGTTTAAACTTTTCAATGAATTTAGAACAGTGCTGCATTGTGCAACAGAACGTTCCAATATTTTAACATTTTCTAATTGAAGTCGATTCTACTACTTCAACCGGTTAATGTCTCAATTGATATGTTGAATTGGAGTTCTAGGAATATTTGATGTATGTTGAGCCATTCTATATGTTAGTTTAAGGGTAATTAAAACCATAACATAACATCACGGCACTTTATGTGACTATACAATGTAACACCCACTTTTCACTATTTATGTAATGAGTCCCATGTAGTAGGGGGTGAGCCTATTGCCATATACCAGGCACATTACTCGACTCTGTGCTACAACTGAGTTTTTTTTTAATCTAAGAAATACTTTGCCCGACCCGGGAATCAAACCCGAGACCCCTCGCATTCGCACTTGTGATTATTCGCCCAATGAGGCAGTAATTAAAAGAACGAGTGATTAATAACATAACATAAAATAACAATATCACAGAGACTATAATTTTGGGCTAAGGATCCTGCCATCATCTACTGAGCAAAGTTTATGAAATCAAACTATTAAACGAATGAACAGAGTTTGAAAGGAGCTATGCCCTAAAAACGTATGTACATACTACATTTAAGCAGTGTAATACTTTTAAACTTCGGAGTCGCGGAGAACCTAACGGGTAACCGGGGCTCCGGCTCGACGTGCAGGAGAAGGAACGGGGTGGTTTTTAGTCAGTAAGAGTCTGACACTCCCTTCCGCCTCACCCAGGCGGGAGCAGTCATTCGATGATTTTCCCCCCTAAAAAAAAATACTTTTAAACTACTGCTCTTTTAGGCTTATAAACGTTAGAAGCTTTTGAAGTGATTACAAAAGTCATTGTATGAGATAGGTGTAACTTTTGGCAGAACTTGTTGAATATCAGTATCAATTCCATACATTAACATTGATGTGGCTTTAGTCTATGCTATTCGGCTTACTTTTAAACCTCATAAAGAAACTGTTGATACCTAGAACGATGGTCCTTATTTACAGATGGCCCATAGCATATCAGTGAGCCGACACGGGCTGTTCATGATGCTGATAAATCTACCAAAGATTCTTGCTGTCGGTTATTTTTTTTATTAGGACAAGCCCGCCACAACCTCCCAAAACCACTACAACTCCTGTAAGCCAGGATCTACAGTAGATACAACCATGAAAACATCGGAACACTGAAGTCCAACGCGTCCCAGGGTCATGAATAACTGTGTAGGTTCCCGCAAAGAAGTGAATCAGAGGATATTATAAGAGGAGAAGAAAAAAATGATAGTTTCCACTTCCCTCGGTGAGTTATTGCAGGAGATAGAATGAATTAAGCCTGAAAGCACAAAAAAGAGACTGTACAACAGTGAAGTCCAGTCGCCAAGCACCACGGAAATTTGACTAAAAACTAAGTGGGTCCTATGTGTGAGCTGTTATACTTGCTTCCAATAATAGGTATGGCAAAACGCACGGAAATTCGTTCTAGATTCCACAAGGTAACACCTGACGAAACAATTAAATTATTCAACATAGTGTTACGTTCATATTGCCAGAGATCACACTCCCAGAGTATGTGATGCAGCCCCGCTGTCGAACATTGACACCATGGTGAATCAACAAGTTTAAATGAGAACAATTTCTGTCGGTTAAAGTACTATTGTGTATTTGTCGGTAAAAAGTAGTAGCACATAGTTATTTTGACGGGGGCATAATCATCTTATGACTTTTCCCGCCCGGTTGAGGCGAGAGGAAGTGTCAGTCTTTTACTGACTAAAAACCACCCCGTTTCCAGTCCTGCTTCGAGGCGGAGTCTCGGTGACCCGTTAAGTTTTCGCAGGTCCGAGAGCTCCACGTAATCTGCAGTCGTGTCCGGTGCATAGCAATAAGCTCATCACTAAATGAAATGAAATCGCGGGTTACTCACGTGAATATACTGAGAAAAGTTCTACTAGTGTGATACTACAACTAGGTACTAGAGTGAGCTGCGGGACGTCGTCGCGACCACGCGCGCTACTCATGAGGGAGAACCCCTCTGTGGTTCGAAACTAGTAGAGCTATTCTTAGTAAATTCACGTAAGTAACCCGCGATTTTAGTTAATTTAACTAGTATGTCTCACGATGGTTATTATAAAAGCTCATCACTGTTATATAACCAATGTAGTTTGGCATATCAAACGGTCCGATCGATTAAATATTATCCTCCATCAACAAGAAATTACCCAATCACAAGATAAACTTTTAAAATGATTAATTTTGCACTCTTATCATAATAACATAAGTTAATGATTATCTTATCTACTTCATTATCGGATCATCTTTTTCATAAAATGCATTGGTCTTTGTTTTCAAAAAGTATTCATAAATTGTGTTCCAAAGAGGTCACATTCAAAATGAAGTATTTACTACTGGTCTGTTTGTTTTATGGTGTCTTAGCCAAACATGAACTCTATGATGGGTATGTATTGTTGATAATAATATTATATACTGTCTTTCTACTGTTGTCTTTGGTCAAGTTTGTAACTCGACATCCATCACCCAAACGATCATCTCAGAAACGTTTTTGATGTGTAGAATTTTCCTGATACCTTTTTGAATTGTGTCCTTATTAGTATCCTTTGATTCTTAATAAAAAAAACTGTCAAACATATCTTTCAAGCTTCACTTCTGGCTCTCGCACCTCAAGAAAGAACAAATGTGTCTATAGATAGATAAACAAATAAATGCAATTGCTTTCTTTACAGGCATGCTGTTTACGAGGTCGATGTCCATTCTGTAGAACAAACGAAACTGGTTCACGACTTCGAAAATGATTTGCTTCTGGATATCTGGTCTCACGCTGTGCCTGGTCATCCAGGAAAGGTCCTCGTCCCTAAAGCCAAGAGAGACATTTTTGAAAACTTCTTAGAACAAAACCATGTACAATACAAAGTCGAAACAGAGAATATTAAAGAGTAAGTACAAACTACGACTTCAATGTTAGATTTTGAAAAGAAACTATTCCTGCATAAAAACAGAATTACCACAACTAATGAATGTGAAATCTTCTAGGCAATTGGACAAAGAAGATGAACTTCTAGCATCTGCTGCAGCGAGAAGCAATAGTTCGCGCATTGGTTTTGAAAGAATCCACACTTATGAAGAGGTAAGTGAAAATGAAATACATCTACATCATCAAACCTAGGTGTCTTCAAGGTCTGAGTGAATAGGTTGCTTATGGGACAACATGTTCCATCGTAGACTGCATCATCGCTTACCACCAGGCGAGATAGTGGTCAAACGTGAGCCCATCAAATATAAAAAAAAATCCTATTTAGACAATGTTTGGAAATGTGAAGAAAAAGGACAATGTAAATAAGAGATGGACCCAGTGTGACAAAAAGAATGTGAATGAGTCAGCAGTTAGAGATGTCATTATGTCTAATATGAACAAATAGGGGATAAATACACAAAGCTCTGACGCAAAGCCACTTAGGATAAGGACGGAAACCACCTCTTTGATATGACACTTAAGACGTATACAATTTTGATAATCATCTAAACTTGTAATATCCATTCGCAGGTTGAGGCCTATTTAGACCAACTGGCAAGAGATTACCCAAATGTTGTCTCCGTGGTCCTCGGAGGTAGAAGTGTCGAAGGCAGACCCATCAGGTACCTCAAGATTTCCACCACCAACTTCCAGGTAAGAACAAAAATTCGAAGACATACATAAAAAACAACATTATTAATAGTGCCCAAAATTCTACATTAATTTCCATTTTTGTTCTAGGATGCCAGGAAGCCAGTCGTGATGATTCAGTCTCTACTCCACAGTCGAGAATGGGTGACCCTGCCAGCAACTCTTTACGCTATCCGAAAGTTGGTTGTCGATGTCTCAGAATCTGACCTTGTCCAGAACATTGACTGGATCATTCTGCCTATAGCCAACCCAGATGGATACATCTTCACACTCACCGTAAGTAGTCAAAGTAATCAATTGCGACAGTCAATAATCACATAATCTTTTTAAAATTATCCAATAAACCTTTGTCTTTGAATTTCGTTATTTAGAAAATACCCACGTGTTTCCCATAATTAATTATCTAGTCACTAGAGTAATGACAGTCTTAAGCAGTTATCTACGATCGGTTCAAGATAAAATTGATAACAAACTTGTTATTATTTTCGGTACTAATTACTGAATACAAACTGTAAGCCATGCGCTAAGAAAAGTGGATAGGTTAAGGCATATGTTTAACGCAAGACCATTTCATAATCCATCTTTTGCGTAGAATAAACCAGATGATATTAACAAAAGACACATAACAATTACACCGTTCACTTCATCCACAGGATCGCTTCTGGCGGAAGAACCGTGCCACTCGCTACATGGTTGCCAACCGTTGTCCTGGCGTAGACCTCAACAGGAACTTCGACCACATTTGGGGCACAGCATCTAGTTCCAATCCTTGTCAGGAAACCTTCCATGGAGCAGGACCCTTCTCTGAACCCGAAGCAGCCGTCATTCGAGATATCATCATTGAACACAGAAACCGAATGGCCTTGTTTCTTGACATTCACAGCTTTGGAAGTATGATCCTGTTTCCTTATGGCGACGGTGTCCTACCTCCCAATGCACTACAACTGAATTTAGTTGGTGTTCAAATGGCCCAAGCTATCGATAGAGTCAAGTGGCCCTCCAACAAGAATTACGTTGTTGGAAACATCTTACATGTTCTTAGGTATGCCGCTTCTGGTGGTGCTGGTGACTACGCAATAAATGTCGCTGCTCCTTATTCTTATACTTTTGAGTTACCAGCCTTTAGGAACAGTATATGGATGGATGGTTTCTTGGTAGAACCGGCTTTTATTGAACAGGCTGGGTTTGAGACATGGGAAGGTATCAAGGTAGGCGCCAGGGCCGCTGCTGCTGCATTTAGGAATGGCAAGGCTGTGTAAGAATATTAATATAATATAAGGATTGACGACTGATATTACATATTTATTTATACGTATAATAAAATATTAAACTTATTTAGTGTTCCTCTTATTTTTGTTATTATCATCGTGTGTCGCGATTCGAACGCGCAGTTTGAGTTGACTGTGCAATCGATGCCTTGCAGGGATCGTAGTTAACTTAGCTCATGCCGTGGCCTCGGCAGGTCAGTCACTTATTCATAAAAGGGAATGGAATGAAATTTCATCCTTAACAATGGGTTTAAACAAAAATGTACATACATACATGTTAAGTGTAATATCCACTTTTTACTAGTTATGTTATCCTTTTGGCATTTTTTTTTTTAAGTGGGGAAAATCATCGAATGACCTCTCCCGCCTGGGTGAGGCGGAAGGGAGTGTCAGACTCTTACTGACTAAAAACCACCCCGTTCCTTCTCCTGCACGTCGAGCCGGAGCCCCGGTTACCCGTTAGGTTCCCGTTTTGCCATTTGTGTCGGGCATAATTCCACTTTTCGTGGTATTACGAAGAAATTTCGAAAGACCTAAAATGTAATAGCAAACTAAACTAAAATATAAGATTTGTTATCTTTCAAATAACTTCGTTATTTCCTCAGTAGAATATTAAGTTAATCTTCAGCAATTGACCGTAGATATCAAAGACAGTATTAAGATGAAAAATGGACGGATTTTTAATTTCGAGTATTCGTAGACTTGGGGACGGCTCGAGAATTTAATAAGGCTAGAAGGAATGGAATTGATTATTTCAGTAATCCGTTATAATGTGCGGTTTAACATTGCTCCGGATTTAATTTTGTTTATTACATATTAACTTATTTGATTGTCAAGATTTTAATAATTAATGGTAATAATTAATTGCGCCGGTGCAATAAATTATATTTCATATGTGGTGGGTATCTGAGATAATTTCTTGCGGATGCCGTTGATATCAAAGTTGCTTTATTATAATAGTATTATTATTAGTAATTAACTTTTAAAGTGTGTCTGGTTCAAAAGTCGCGTTATTGTTGATTTACTAAATAACTTTGTACCTACATTGTAAAGAGACAAACTGTGAGTATTATACAAATGTAATTTAAAGACCTACAATAGGTGTGTTAACCTGCATAGTCATATTTATATCATGTTTCTTGTAAACTGACCGTGTCTGTTTTATAATGACTGTATGCTTTTTATGATAATAAAGAAATTATAAACAAAAAAAATAATTAATGGTTGTATGAGGTATGACCCGTAATAGAGTGTGAGGAAATTACTAAACACCGGGCTATATCCCAGACTACATAACATAACACCACGCCTTTTATCCCCGAAGGGGTAGGCAGAGGTGCACATTATGCCACTGTACGATGTAACACCCACTTTTCACTATTTATGCTACGAGTCCCATGTAATAGGGGGTGAGCCTATTGCCATATACCGGGCACAGTTCCAGACGTCGTGCTACTACTAAGAATTAAAAAAAACAGTAATATACGTCCTTTGCCCGATCCGGGAATCCCGAGACCCCTTGCCCGGTAGTCGCAGTTGCGACCACTCGGCCAACGAGGCAACTAATGATGTACATCCCAGACTAGTAATGTACAAATTTGCTCTGTTGTCAAAACATGGCCAAGTCTACTACTTGACTGTCCAAATCTACTCGATCGTCCAAATCTTGATACAATCCTCACATAATATCTCATTGAAATCATTTAAAAATATGAAAGGATTTATTGTTTTCGGCTTACTCACGTAATAATTTGACGAGGAATTCGACTAGTTTCAAGCCATGCTAGAGACTCATATTCATGAGCAGCATTTCGCGAATTGCGACGCGGCGACTGTCGCAGCGCAACGAATATGAGCCTCTAGCATGGCTTGAGACTAGTCGAGTTCCTCGTCAAATTACTACGTGAGTAAGCCGAAAACATAATAATTTATTTAGTATGTCGCACGAAAGTTACAAAACAAATGAAAGGACTTGTTTAAAAAAACACAGAATAATTAGAACTGTTTAATCTCATCATTTCTTCGGCAGCAACTGTGATAGCCTTCCAAACATCTTCCACTATAGCACCTATATCTTCCTCAGGTATAATCACTCCATTGCCGCGTTGTACTATGTCAAAAATATAAGTATACAACACGGTTTTACTTCTTATGTAATCGGTACTGGTACCTGATATTCTATCAAATATATATGATCCAACATCTAAATTGTACGCATCTTTCATGGCTTTTACCATATCTAAGCCTAAAAGGTAATGCTGTCTGAACATTCCACTTGCAGCTTTTTCGTAATGCCAGGGTACTGAAATGTAGCCTCCATTGTTTTGTAAGGACATATACAGCTTAACTCTGGGGGCATTTTTGTTGATTATATCTTGAATCATACGGCTTTCGATTTCTGAGAAGGGTTCCACTCCAGCATATAAATGACTGCATGGACTAGAACTGGCGTCAAAATTTTGCCAGTCGTAGTCAAAATTGCGATTGATGTTGACTCCGGGGCAAATGTGTCCCATGTTGCTGTTGGTGCTCCGAGATTTCTGCCATAGACGAACCTGAAAAAAATTATTCATTTTGGTTTAATTTTATATTATTTCTTTTTCAATTTTTAGTAGCGTTTATTTTACAAAAGATTGAATGTAACTTAATAATACGCCTTTTATCCCCGAAGGGGTAGACAAAGGTGCACATTACCTACGGCACTTACTTAGTAAGTAACACCCACTTTTTACTATTTATGTAATAGGGAGTGATCTTATTGTCATATATCCAACAAGAGATTTTTTTAAAAAACCTAGTATTACTTAGCTCGACCCGGGAATCGAGCCCGAGAGCCGTTGCCCAGCAGTCGCACTCGGCTACCGAGGCAGTCAGAAGTTTGAATGTAATTAGTAAGATTATAATTATTCTCTTTTTGTCGATTGTATGGCTTCAAGTGCCCCTGTCCACTGAATAAAATATCCAATAGTAATTTGCAACTTGAACCCAACTTTGGCGTGTCGTACATACAGGCACTCGGCTTAAAAAGTCAAAGCATTTATTTCAATTAATCGTTAATGTAGCACTTTTTTTATAAAGTAGTCTACTAGTCAAAATCATATAAGGTTTGTTTTTATGGCATAAGCCGGTAAACGAGCAGACGGATCACCTGATGGTAAACAATCGGCGTCGCCCATTGACACCTGGAACACCAGAGGCGTTACAAGCGCGTTACTGGCATTTTGGGGATTAGGAGTTTGAGTATCGTTGGGGATTTAGGAATTGGGGAGATTGGGGAAGGGGAGAGTAATTGCGCCCCCAGTAACCTCACTCAAACGACGAAACACAACGCAAGCGTTGCTTCACGTTGGTTTTCTGTGAAGCCGTGGTATCACTCCGGTCGAGCCGGCCCATTAGTGCCGAAGCATGGCTCTCCCACACTTAAAAAGGATTAAATTACTCACATTAGTATGAGTGTACTCGTATCCATCCGGATTCAAAACGGGGATTACAATCCATTCGAGGTTATCCAAAAATTTTTGTTCCTTCAGGAGATTTTCTACAATATTCAACGCGGCTGGAATCGTTACCCAATCTCTCGGATTTGTGGCAGCTTCGATTACAATGATAGGTTTTTCTGGACTATTAGTTTCATTAGTACCACGACTTATCCTCAAATAGACCAAAGGTCTATTCTGGGCTGTGACCCCATATTCTATCAGTTCCACTTTGGTTAAAGAATCAGCTGATTGCTCGTGTAATTTGCGAAGATATGCCAGGATCTGGAAGATTTGGAGTACACATATAACATCTATAAATATTGCTCAGGGCTTTCCTTTCACGGATTGACAATTTGTGAATAGGGTAGTTTCCAGGGTAAGAAAATTAAAAATCTAATTAGTCCGTCAGTTAGATAATGAAAAGGTATTCGACACGTATTTTGTTTTCTCGTATAAAGTTACAATACATAAATAAAATGGCGGTAAGTTTAGGAATGGGAGGTAGTTACGTCACAACGTGGTACAATTTATAGCAAGCTGTGACGTCACGCGACATTTCAAATCAATACTCGTCAATACCTATTTCATTTTGTGAGAAAAGAAATATTACATGTCTAATGTTTTTAAATAATCTACCAGACGGACATTTAAATAAAATTTAGGAAACTACCCTATTATATGAATATTCGTTCAGTTCGAGATATTTTGATTGTACAGTAACCAGTCACCCAGCACCTGCATCATAAAAGCAATAATACATGCTCTAAGATAGCATGCTAAAAGGCGTACTATTGAGCATGCACAAAAACGTTTATAAATCGAATGCCTGTCCATTTGCAAACATGCCTGATATGAGCATGCTAATTATGATCAACATTCCGACACACATGCTGCTAAGTGGCAAGTGCTCAATTATAATTACAAGCACAAATGTACGCTATAGCATGCTTTTTTGCTTAAAATTAGCATGTGTAACAGTACCTTATAAGCAATTTTCACAGTATGACAGTTGAGTTGGCAGGAATCAAAATTAGTGTGAATTATTAATAAAAGATAAAAAATAATTTACAGAGCCAACTTCAAAATTAATGTGGCTTACGTATTTTTCCTCACCAGATAGCGCGTTCTTCGTCCAATAGGGAATTAGCTGTCACGTCATTGGACGTTCAATATTTGACAGCTGCTGTGTTTATTTTTTATACATCAAATCAATGCAATGACATTTTTCTGAAGTAAAATGTTTAATCACCTTTTTATTAAAATCGGATATTGTTTAAAAAAAATCCCCTCCTACATCCGCGCTATCTGGTGACAAAAAAACCTTAATCCTATTGGAAAGATTGTTTTTTTTAAATTATCGTTTGCACATTAGGATTTTCTCCTGTGTCGTGGGTGCGTTTACAAACATACAAGTTCACATACACAATGACACCCAGACCTGTGGTGTGTGTAACAACAATTTGTGGATCACACAAAGTGTTGTTCCGTGCGGGAATCGAACCCGCGACACGTTGCACGGCAGCCGGTTGCCCAGCCACCGCACCAACCGTGGAGTCATATACATTAAGCCAACAAATAATATTATTTTCATTGTTGTATACTGACATCATCGTATCTGTGGTACTTATTGACATCAAAATAATGATCTTCATCCACACTCCTTGGTAGCCTCGTCCTGTTCTCCACTCCATTAAAGTACCTGTAAGTACATAACCATATCATCAGCATTATCAACAATATCAGTGGCAAAGGCTAATCGTGAATAAGAGTCCCAGTGTCACGTGAAACTAGTTGAGCTTTCCTCGAATAGTTTGCGTGAGTTATTTTTAATCAGATTATGATTTTTTTTTTCATTAACATCAGGCAACGAAGGCATATTAATACAATAATACTATAATATAATACATACATATAATACTATAACTTAATTTATAATTGCGTGAACAAAAAAATGTATTTCCATCTCACTTACTCATAAACGTCTTCAATATACACATCTCTGTTTACCCCCAGCTCTTGTAGTTTCTCCTCGAACCAGATGAAATGAGAAGGCGGCACCATAACCTTGCCAACGACGCCATATTTGTAACTAGGGTGCGTCCAAAAGTCTATCAGATCACTCTTCAAAATTCTTATGTTATCCTGCTGTTCTATTGATTCTAATTCTATGTTATACACTTTATAGCTGAAAATTAAATAACACATACTTAAAATTATGTATTAATTATTTTTACCGGTTATGTTATGAGTCCCTTGAAGCGTAATAGTGATGAACATAGGACCTGTCCCTATATGGACAGGTCAAAATGCCGTGCTGTGGTTTGTTTGTGTGTGAAAAATTGTGATCCAAAATAGTGTGTCCAATATGAGAATACTATAATATAATAAATTTAATTAAAAAAGTGTAATTTCTACATCTTTTATTTTTTCTAATGGACTGAGGGTTATTAAATATTTTTGGCTGTCAGCCAGGTAGTTATTAATTTAGTGACAGCTGTGCTGCGCTCAAACAGAACAAAGAAACAGTTGCCTTCCACTGGCCACAGGACACAATACGGCATGCCAACGGCAGCATAGTCTACTTTTGAAATGAGTTTCTCTAAGAGGCAGACATCAGGGAATACGTCTAAAGGCTGTGTATTGAGCGCACTTTATTGAACTCCAGTGCCTTGGACCACCAGATATTTTCTAGTCTGCAGGCACTGGTTTGGTGGAGTGACGATATCTGTAGGTGACTAATGGTGGTCAAATGAATAGACGGATCACCTGACTATTAATGCTATAAATATTGATTGATGGATGGCTACACATGGCAGCCATCAGAATTAACAGTATCGCTTGTACTTTATTGTTAGGTATTTTAAATATTGTGCTCTCTTTTCTAAGATTTAATGGTTATGTCGGTTGGGAAATACTGCTACTACAATTTGGTAGTTTCCCGGGTTTCAAAATAAAAAATCTAATTAGTCCATCAGTTAGATAATGATAAAATATTAGACACGTACTTTTTTATTTTCTCGTATTAAGTTGCAGTACTTAGATAAAATGGCACTAGTTTTAGGAGTGGGAGGTCGTTACGTCATAACGTGCTACAAAATATGGCAAGTTGTGACGTCACACGGTATTTCAAATTAATATATCGTCGAAAGTATTTAATTTTATGAGAAAAGAAGAAATACGTGTCTAAAGTTTTAAATTAATCTACCACACGGACATTAAAATAAAATTTAGGAAACTGCCCTATTCATTACCCAGTTCGGCTGTGCGAGGTAGAAAGTAAAAGTAAGGAAACTCACCCTTTATAATCTTCATTTTTTGCGGCAACAAAAAAGCAAAACATGAAAGAAAAATAAACGAAACGTAATAACATTGTAATTAGTTATGCGCAAATATGTAAATGAACGAAAGAATAAACACGTAATGGATTAATTACTTTTTGAACAGAAGTATTTTATCTAATCTGAGTAATCCTGTACAAAAAGTGTATTATCTTGACCACAACATGTTCCTTAAGTATGCTGAGCATGCAAGCTCCTGATAAATAGATGATATCGATATCTTAATATTCTTACAGAAGTCTGACGTGAAACCGAATTGCGTTGCTTTGCCGCGTGAGTGAGATTACCATAGACACAAATTTCCCCCTCCCTTTTGCCCTAATCCTAAATCTCTAAATGACTAGCAAGGAAACATCATTCGGACAATAAATGGACTACATAGTCCCATTTTTTAATGATTCAAACCAAAAATTTCAGAGTCTAGCACATTAATACAATTAGTTATGTAACTTTATATAAAGTACGTTTTAAAAAACCGACTATAACGGGCAATTAATATACTTAAACCTGCTCCTAAGTGTAACAAACCCTTCGGCCACCGTAAGTGCGGGCTTCCGGACGGCGAGCATGGGTGGCTCCCCGTCCGACCAGAAACAGACCCGACCGTACGGCGCGTCGCGTTCCGCGCGCGCCTCAAAGACCCATCAGACCACCACAGATGGGGCCCAACAAGGCCGATGACGATTCGGAGTCGCGGAGAACCTAATGGGTAACCGGGGCTCCGGCTCGAAGTGCAGGAGAAGGAACGGGGTGGTTTTTGGTCAGTAAGAGTCTGACACTCTCTCCCGCTTCACCCAGGCGGGAGCAGTCATTCGATGACTTTCCCCCCTTAAAAAAAAGTGTAACAAACCCTTTCCTGAAAACCTCGTTGAAATCGGTTAAGCCAATCTCGAGATAATCGCGCACAAACATACATTACAAATAAAACCTCCCCCCCCCCCCCCTCCTCAATCTCCCCAATTCCTGAATCCCTAACAGTCCTCAAATTTCTAATCCCTGAAACGCCGGTAACGCATTTATAACATATCTGGTATGCCCACGGGCGGTGCAGATTGCTTACCATCAGGTGATCCGTCTGCTTGTTTACCGGTTCATCCCACAAAAAAAACATTTTCCTAAGTGTAACACAACATTCTGAAACCTTCCTTTTTTTGAAATCAGTTAAAAAAACTAATAGCCTCATACTCTATACAAGTTATTGAGAGTTAAAAGGTTTATTTTTATACATAATAGGTCACCGCATGGCCACTAACTCGCCTGGCTGCCACTGAGTTAGCGGCATGTTGTCGTTCAGCTAAATTGATGAGTCTGTACCGTGTCTATACTTACAATCTATCACAGCTAATGCATTTCTGTAATGTATATAGCTTTTGTTCTCCTTTGTTATATTGATATCCAATAGGTACTAGCAAAATAGGACAGAATCTATTCATAATTCAAATATGTAGGTTATTTTCAGGTACCTAATTCCTAGTTGCAATTTGGCCTAATTACTACATATTATAAAACAAAGGCGCTATCCGCAGTCTGTCTGTCCCTATGTATGCTTAGATCTTTAAAACTGCACAACGGATTTTGATGCGGTTTTTTTAATAGATAGAGTGATTCTTAAGGAAAGTTTATAAATATAATACATGCATATTGCACCCGTGCGAAGCCGGGGCGTGTCGCATGAAATCACATCGCAGCAATTAGCATCGTAATTTTTTGCGTTGCGAATTCGCATCGCACTTTTGTGTACGAGCCCTAGACCGTCCATTTTTTGATAAATGCATGCATAACAGTACTGACGCCCTTCGTACATAAAAGCAATGAAATAAAACACAATCATCTTATCAATTTGTATTTATAATATAGAAACCAATAAAATAACGCAGACAAATTTATTGACAATGACATGATAAGTGATGATTCCAAACTTATTTATTTAAAGATTACTCTTTTTGAAATTGTCACGAATGAATCTGGCGCCTGTCTTGATGCCTTCGAAGGTTTCGAAACCAGCCTGTTCGATAAACGCAGGGTCTACGAAGAAACCGAATCCACCAATACCAAATCTATGTCCAGGCAGTTCATAAGTGTAGGAGTAAGGTACACCAACAGATTGGGCATAATCTCCAGCACTACCTGAAGCATCATACAGAACCATGGCAACGTTACCAACAACATAATTAGAATTCCAGCTCATTTTAACAGCATCGATGGACTCTGCCATTCTGACTCCTAGTAAATGGATCATAAGGGCATTTGGAGGTAGATTCCCATTTCCATATCCATATAAAATCATGCTTCCAAAACTGTGGATGTCCAGGAACAATCCGATTCTGTCTACATATTTGTCGAAAACAGATTTGATGACGGAAGTTTCTGGTTCAGAGAAGGGACCTCTTCCATGGTAGGTGTCGAGGCAAGGGACACTACTGGAAGCTTCTGACCAGTTGATGTCGAAGTTTCTGTTCAGGTCGACGCCCATGCAAGAGCCTACGCCAAGGTTGGTGTTGCGATTCTTACGCCATAGACGGAACTGTGACCAAAAATATTTAAAATTAACATCATACAATTAACATTTCCTTTTGAACTATACCTCTTCTATATAGGAGAGTTTTTTTGAGAAGGGGCATTTATCGAGTGACTCAATCCGCCCCAGATGAGGCGAAAGGGAGTGTCGGATTTCACTGCTTAAAAACTACTACGCTATAACATTTGCTTTGAGGCGATGCCACAATAATTCATTGCGTTTTTTCGCAGGCCCAGTCAGACATTGGCCTTAGTGGGCCCCATCGATTGGGATCTGATACCTGTGAGCCTCGCGCAAAACGCGACGCACCTCCTACGAGGGGTTTGCCATAATTTCTACGTTTAGTAGGCAGATTGGAGATCATAATTTAAAATTTTAGCTTTATCAAATATAATTCTGCTGTCGGAAATGTCATGTTGTGCATATTTTTATTACATGACACTGAATTAGATTTGATGACGCATACTTAATGCATTACTTTTAAACTGTCAAGCACCAAGCGGTCACCGGTGACCGCGACCTATTGTTCTTTAATTGTGTCTATTAAACCGGTACTCGACGAGTTAATGGACAAGTATCGAAAATTACTTGTTTAGTAACCCATTATAATGTATTTTATTTCTTATTGCACATTACGAATCAAAATTGAAGTAAACAAATAAAAGACAATCAATTTATCTTATCAATCAGCATTTTTAATAAAGGAACGTAACGAAAACAAATTATTGACAATACATTAATTTTATGGAACAAAAATGTGTGTATTTAAACATTGCTCTTTTTGAAACTGTCACGAATGAATCTGGCGCCTGTCTTGATGCCTTCCCAGGTTTCGAAACCAGCTTGTTCGATAAACGCAGGGTCTACGAAGAAACCGAATCCTCCAATACCAAATCTATGTCCAGGCAGTTCGATAGTGTAGGAGTAAGGTACACCAATGAATTGAGCATAGTCACTGGCGGTGCCCGACGCGTCATATAGAACCATGGCAGAATTACCAACAACGTAGTTGGGATTCCAGCTCATTTTAACAGCGTCAATAGACTCTGCCATTCTGACTCCTAGTAAATGGACCATGAGAGCATTCGGGGGCAAAGTTTTATCTCCATATGCATATAAAATCATGCTTCCAAAACTGTGGATGTCCAGGAATAGTCCGATTCTGTCTATGTATTGGTCGAAAACAGATTTGATGGCAGCGGCTTCTGGTTCAGAGAATGGACCTCTTCCGTGGTAGTTGTCGAGGCAAGGAATGTTGCTGGACGCTTCTGACCACTGGAAGTCGAAATTCCTGTTCAGGTCCACGCCCATGCAGGTGCCTACGCCAAGGTTGGTGTTGCGATTCTTACGCCAAAGACGGAACTGTGAGCAAAAATGTTTGAAATAAACATCATACCTTTGAATCCCCTGACGAGACGGTAATATACGTATTGAATGTTACACTTCAAAAAATTATGCCATTCTTCTGTTGAACTATCACCACACTATTTTTTGGGGCAAGCCCGCCACAACCTCTCAAAACAGCTGCGACTTCATTAAGCAAGGATCTACAGTAATAGACCCCCGCTTACTTAGAGCTGGCTTAGAGGTGGTGGTGAAAACAACACAGAAAAACGGCGTCCTATAGACATGAATAACTGTCTTGAATTCCGCAACGAAATAAATCAAAGTTATCATTACAGGAAGAAGAAAGGGGAGGAGAAAAAAACTCCCGTAGAAAGACAAATGATATAAATCCATTCTAGTTTACCGACACAAAATCATCACATCACATTAAAAATATAACGATAACTATCATCACTGATGTCCTAAAAATAAACCACCCAATATTGAAATTATATTCTTATTTAGCCAACCAACATGTTGGCAGTATGGCCGTCGCGGTTTTTTAATTGGTCCATAATTCAATACTTGGACGTGTAAATATCATGCATCATTTTATTTTGCAAATACAATTTGCGACCAATATTCCGAAGCTACTACAGCCACAAACTGTAATCACAAGTTTTACAATAAATTATTATGTTTTCGGCTTACTCAAGTAATAATTTGTCGAGGAATTCGACTAGTTTCAAGCCTTACTAGAGGCTCATATTCATGAGCATCATTTCGCGACCTACGACGCGGCGACTGTCGCGCCGCGCTGCTACTCGAGTCGAGTTCCTCGTCAAATTATTACGTGAGTAAGTCGAAAACATAATAATTAATTTAGTATGTCTCACGAAAGTTACAAAGTTTTACAATCATGTTTTTTATAATTAACTAGCGGGCCGACCCGACTTTGACTTTGACAAAAGGTAACTTTATCACTTTTATCTAACAACTGGTCCCGACTATCTATTCACAAACGCAACACAGTTCTAACACCTCAGGTGTTACGGTTGTACAAGTATAGTTGTTGAAGACAGCTTGTTTGCCGACCGATCCAATATAAAAATGGAAATCCAATCCGAGAATTTAAAATAACCATTACCTCTCCGTGACTGTGGACATAACCATCAGGATTGGCTATGGGAAGGATGATCCAGTCGATATCCTGGATGAGATCCTGCTCGGTGACGTCAATCACCAGCTTGTGGATGGCGTAGAGAGTGGCTGGCAGCGTGATCCATTCGCGAGCGTGAAGGAGGGACTCCATAAACACAATTGGTCTCGTCGATGTCTGTAGGAACAAAAAAAAATGACGTAATGAAGACTCACTTACATCTTTGCAAGAGATTTCACTTGCAACCCCTTGTAATCCCCTTGTAAATGACATTGACTGCCCTAGAATACTGCAAAGACATCATTTTAATGTTCCCCGTAAGTCATTTAGGTTCAGTGTACCGATATCGATACCTACTTCCTCAACCAACTATCGGAGTAATTCGTATATTGTGCGAGCGAGCAATGATTTCAATAAACTGTGTAAAGAGTTTTCATTCGACCCGTTTAACACAAAACTTACTGTGGCACGCGGGCAGCTGAACCCTGATTTCTTTAATTCATAGTGGGTACCTATATGGTCCTTAATATTTGGAGTAATTTGTGCATCATTATAGATTGCCTGTGGTTTAATGAGTTTAATAAGTACTGTGTTGGCATGTTTGTACTTTCTGTTACTAATCGTGGAAACCAGTAATTGGCTTCTTGTTCCATACCACATTCTAAATACAATTTGATTAAATAATCAAACTGTATTTTGATTAAATAATCAAATTGTATAGCTGTTGGTTTTCCAAATGTATAAATAAAATAAAATAAATAAATAAAATATTTTTTTTATCATGTAATAAGCTGAAGTGTTGGTTTATTTTCTTAGATGTACGCTCTGGTCTCCGGAACTAGTAGTTGAAATTAAATATTTTTTTTATGTTTAATGGTCCCTATAAGGAGAAAGGCTATCAAGATCACACTATGAGCAATGGTCGTTGCGTACCTGGTGAGTTAATTGCTGATTGTGAAAATGTGTATTGTATTGTACTCGTGTATATATATTATTATAATATTTACATAACATTACATCACGCCTTTTATCCCCGAAGGGGTAGGCAGAGGTGCACATTATGCCACTAGACACTGTAACACCCACTTTTCACTATATATGTTATGAGTCTCATGTAATAGGGGGTGAGCCTATTACCATATACCGGACACAATTTCAGACTCCGTGCTACTACTGAGATTTTTTTTAAAAACGCATTATTCCTTTGCCCGACCCGGGAATCGAACCCGAGACCCCTTGCCCGGCAGTCGCAATTGCGACCACTCGGCCAACGAGGCAGTCAAATATCATTAAAATGTCCTTCAACTTTTTCAACAATACTCCGCAATAACAAGTGGGTATTAAATGACTTTATAATCTTAATATAATGTTATCTACTCTTTAAAGATTATTTGGAGCTCATAATTTTAATTATTTATCTGTTTCAAACGTAATTATGACGATTTTAATTAATCTCTTGTCTTTATCTCACACGTATGTTTAATACAAATCTGCACATGTTTATTTTTGTTAGGTGTTTCTTGAAGTCAGTGCACGGAAATGACAACGATAATTGTTAAACTATGTTAAAGCTTTATACCAATTGACCTTCTTATCCTGAAAATGAGTGTGGGAGAGCCATGCTTCGGCATGAATAGGCTGACTCACGGCCTCACAGAAAACCGACGCTTGTGTTGTGTTCTTCGTGTGAGTGAGGTTCTCGGAGGCCCAATTACCTCTCCTCAATCTTCCCAATCCCTGAATACAAAACTAAAATTCCTAATCCCAACAATCCTCAAATTCTTAATTCCCACTTGTAACGCATCTGGTGTGCCTGATGTCCACGGGCAACGCCGATTATTTACCATCAGGTGATCCGTCTGTTCGTTTACCGGCTTATACCAAAGAAAAAAGATTCAAGAAGCATTTATGCCATTTCCCTAAAAGGGACTATCGATTAAAAGTCGGTATTTTACCCTTCAACTCTTATCACAGAATTTAATCTTTTCACTGAAACTTCAAAATCATTTTGTACTCTTGTATGGTTACCATAGCAATAGATAAAAACACGTGACTCGATAAATTATAACACGAAAAACAATTATAAACTACCTCTTCTAAGTCCGGTATTCGTCACGAAAGGGACACCCTAGCCAAATTGTCCAAATATCCATTTAAATATAAGTATTTGAAGTATAAATCTAAGTGTGGGAGAGCCGTACTTCGGCACGAATGGGCCTGCTCGACCGGAGTCATACCACGGCCCCACAGAAAACCGACGTGAAACAATGCTTGCGTTATGTTTCGTCGTGTGAGTGAGGTTACCGGAGGCCCAATTACCCCCCTCCCTAGTCCCCATCTCCCGAATCCACGACTCCTCCACAACCTTCAAATTCCTAATTCCTAAAAGGCCGGTAACGCAGTTGTAACGCTTTGGTGTTTCGAGTGTCCATGAGCGGCGCCGATTGCTTACCATCAGGTGATCCGTCTGCTCGTTTACCAGCTTATGTTATAAAAAAATACATGCAAATGATGTTTGCAACTTACTTCGAAATCTCCACTGGAAACCTTGATGTACTTGATGTCTCTGCCTTCAAAACTCTTGCCAGCATTTACCAGGGTCACAGTTTCAGGGTAAGCTGCAGCCAGCATCTCAAGGAAGGTATCTACCTGGAAATGAGACAGACCGGGTAAATGATGAAACAAGTAAAGCTGTCGAACCAGTAGAAGATCATACAGTTTTGGATATGGTCTACAAACCTGGTGGTACGTGTAAATCTGATCAAAGGGTAGGGAATCCAATCTTGAGCCATTGTTCTTTTTTGCAGCTTCCGAAAGCAGATGGTCTTCCAAGTCCAAGATACTGAAATAAACATAAATATTTATAACATGAAGTGCATTAAATATAACATTAACTTTCTACTAGTTATGAGTCCCGTGTGTAATAATAACTCTTTTGCCAAGCAGCATACATTTAATTTATTTCGAAAATAGATCCTCCTCATACTGGTACTATATTACCGATGCACTGCGTCTTTGGCCGAGTGGTCGCAAGTGTGACTGCCGGGCAAGGGGTCTCGGGTTCGATTCCCGGGTTGGGCAAAGTATCACTGGGTTTTACAATATTCTCAGTAGTAGCACGGAGTCTGGAATTGTGTCCGATATATGGCAATAGGCTCTCCCCCTATTACATGGGACTCATAACATAAATAGTGAAAAGTGGGTGTTACATTATACAGTGGTATAATGTGCACCTCTGCGGTATCCTTTGGGGATAAAAGGCATGGTGTTATGTTGTGTTATTATCGACGCAAGTAATAAACTATGAGCACTGTGCCCAGGTATGTCACAACCACAAACAATGATGCAGCAAGTAAGGCACGACAAGTACGGGGAGACTAGTCCTCTTTTAAGAAAAACCTCCTTTGCATATTCCAAATTAACCAAATGCCAACCGGTATTGAGCAGGCGTGGTGATTAATGCTCAAACTTTCTTCGTGGGAGAAGAGGCTTTCAGTCTGTTGATGAAATGTTCCAAACAGATGATGCTAATGAATAAACACTTACTCCTTGATATTGTCGGATTCAATTTGGAACTCTACGCCAGCAGCTTTGAGTTCATTTTGGAATAGCGGTTTCTTGTCTTTTGGTACGAGGACCTGGCCATCATGGCCGGGTATGGCATGAGACCAGACATCAAGATCTAAAGCCTTGCTGAGGTAGTTGACCAGTTCCACCTGTTCTGTGGTCTTCACAGATACTTTGTAGAGACCGTATCTGAAAAAAAGAAGAAGGAAAATTAATATAAATAGCAGTAGTATTACTTTTTCCGAACGGATAGTCCCAGATACAGATATCAAATGTTTCTATCACCCGTTTTTTACCAGGTATGTTACATAATATGAGGTTTATGTTATGGGGGCCATTCGTTACAGTAAGTAGTTCAGCTTAAAGATCCAAAACGAATCTAACCAAAAGTGGAATCTTAGAATCTTGGAATCACCATTATAGATTGTGGTATTTATGCAGTCATATTAGGTATTATTCAGATGATGCTGAACTCCAAAACCTAATTGGAAATGGGCCAGTTGTGAGAATAAATGTTTTTTATGGGATAGGATGGTATAGAGATCCCCTGGTGGTACGCAACCAACACCGTCCTTGGACACCGACAATTCCAGTGGAGTCACAAGTGTCTTTTGAGGTAAGCGGAATGTACTTAATTCAATTTTATTACAATTAATCTTACCCATCATACACCTCGTGTTTGGCTAAAGCCAACCCAATGATAACAAATAAGCAGCCTAGCCTCAACATATTGTGGACACAAACTGATCAAAATATAATAAAAAAACAAATCATTACCGTTTACCCAATAATCGGTATCAATTTAATCAAATCGATAAATCATTACGAAAGTCGATAAGGATACGTTAATTCATTAAAATCCGAGATATTTATTTAATTCGATGATAGGTGGCACTGTTATCTTCTAAATCATAATTTTATCTACACAGCATGATTTTACGCTTTTTCCGAAGTTGTAGAATTATAATGTAACATCCACTTCTCGGTGTCACCTGCAGTAATTCACCGAGGAAAGTGATAACTATCGTTTCTTTTTTCTTCTCTTATAATATCTTCTAATTTCTTGCGGGGGCCATGACAGTTATTCATGTCTCTGGGACGCACCGGACTTCAGTGTTCCGATCTTTTCATGGTTGTATCTACTGCAGATCCTGGCTTACAGGAGTTGCAGCTGTTTTGAAAGTCAGTGTCGAGTTTGTCCCAAAAAAAAAAATCCACTTGTCGGTAGTTGTGTTGCGAGCCCGATTCAAGAACGCCAGTCTATCAATCTGGTCTTTATCACCGACACAATTCCAGCTTACCATAGCTACTTTAACAATCTCCAAAAACCTGAATGAGACATTCAACCAAGCATCTGAACTTGAGCTAATCGTTCAGTTTGCTAGTAGCATTCGACTAGCAAACTAAACTGATGGCTAAATAAACTAGTTGGCTATAATAGGTATAGAATAAAAAACCCAAACTGTACCTATCTAATAACAATACCTATTAAAATATTAATCGGGAACGTGCGCAAATGAATTATTGAGATTAAATGAATTTAATCCTTAAAATATAAGATAAACGTCAAAAAGTTTTTAATCACAGAAGAGGACATTTTCGTTTATTAGGTTTTTCTTGTATTATTTAGAAATTCCCAATGATAATGATAGACGAGTTGACAAAGGTCAAACGAAGGCTAAAGTTTTAGTGTAGGTCGCATCCAGCCTGCCCCAAAATCATTCAACCAGACCTGCTTTTTTATAGGATAGAAAGCAAATGATCTGACAGATCCCTTGATGGTAAGCGATTTACGTTACCCTATGGGTATCTGCGATCTCTTAGATTGCAGTCAAGTGCATGGATTTCAGCAAAAGGATTTTGTTCAACAGCGGACATGTTCCGCTGTTGAACAAAATCCTGTTATGATTAACTGAAACATAACATTACGCCTTTTATCCCCGAAGGAGTAGGCAGAGGTGTACATTATGACACTGTACAATATAACACCCACTTTTCACTATTTATGTTATGAGCTCCGTGTAGTAGGGGGTGAGCCTATTGCCATATACCGACCGGGCACAATTCCAAACTCCGTGTTACTACTGAGGTCTCTTTTAAAAACCTGTAATACTTTGCCCGACCCGGGAATCGAACCCGAGACCCCTTGCCCGGCAGTTGCACTTGCGACCACTCGGCCAACGAGGCAGTCATTAACTGAAAATGCAATTTTATAATCACGAACGGGAAAAAACGAGATTGCGAGTGAAACTAGTTAGTACGTAAATATTTTAATTATTCGCACTAATTTCAAATACAAACAAATGAATATTTATGAACTAATAAATAACTTTTAAACATGTTTTTATTAAATTGAATCTCTAATTAGTATAGACCATTATCCACCTACAAAAGGTCAAAATAATAATGGGTACTATTTCGTAATCGCCCACTACAATGATGATTAAATCTGGTACAATTAGTAATTTTAATTTTCATTATGACAAACCTTCATTTTTGGTTGACTGCCTCGTTGGCCGAGTGGTCGCAAGTCCGACTGCCGGGGCAAGGGGTCTCGGGTTCGATTCCCGGGTCGGGCAAAGTATTACTGGGTTTTTAAAAATCTCAGTGGTAGCACGGAGTCTGGAAATGTGCCCGGTATATGGCAATTGGCTCACCCCCTATTACATAGGACTCATAACACAAATAGTGAAAAGTGGGTGTTACTTTGTACTGTGGCATTAAGTGCCTACCCCTTCGGGGATAAAAAGGCGTGATGTTATGTTATAATATGTTCATTTTTGGTGGTGACGTCAGAACAAAATGTCTCATTACCGCCTCTCTTCCTGCTGGTATTGTAAGCGGCGACTAAAGACCAATATTCAGTAAAACTAGGCAGCTCTTTGACAAACCTGAAGGTACTGTTATATTTACGTGAGTAACTCTCAGATTTCAGTTAATTCAGCAAGTCTCACGATAGTTTTTGTAAGAGTAATAAGTGTGTTACCTACATACCTTTTAGTGGGTTAGACCTCCAGTAAACGCTAACATGACGAAACACCGCTTATTTCACGCCGGTTTTCGGTTGTGGCATCACTCAGCTCTTCTTCTTCTTCTTCTCATCTTTGGAATATGGTCTTTGCAGCTAATCGCAATACCTACATTACTGTAAAACATATTACCTTTTGTTGCTAACTCATACTGCAGAACAATTCATTTGCAAGGGTTATTATTATGAAGCTAATATTTGCCTTCTAGCCGTTATAATACACAGAATGAATAAAAACCACTTATTATCGTGTAGCTATACATTCGTTTAAATTGAGTTTTAATACAGTATAATATAACCATTCGAAGTCAAATCACTTATTTAAATAAGAACAATAATAGTAAAGCACTTTAGAAAATGCATTAAATGAATGTAACAGCCACTTGACTTTGATTTACATTTTATACAAACTAACCAGTAACTTTGCCCGCGTCCCCGTGGTGTTTTAGCCTATGTGTAATTCCGTTATATTTTTATGGGATAAGCCGGTAAACGATCTCCGGCCACCATAAGCACGGGCCTGCGGACCGTGAGCATGGGTAGCTCGCCGCCCGACCAGAACCAGACCCGAGCGTGGCGCGTCGCGTACCGCGCGCGCCTCAAAGAGCCATCAGACCACCACGAATGGAGCCTAATAGGGCTAATGCAGATACGGAGCCGCGGAGGACTTAACGGGTTGCCGGGGCTCCGGTTCGAAGTGCAGGAGTAGGAACGGGGTGGTTTTTAGTCAGTAAGATTCTGACACTCCCTCCCGCCTCACGCAGGTAAGAGATTATGATTATGAGATACATTCGATGATTTCCCCCCCTTAAAAAAGGCAGGCAGGTTAGAGGTTGTAGTTTAAAATATTTGATTTATCAGATAACAGTGCTGACCGATCTTTTTAAAATATTATGTAATCCTTTAGAATTCAAAATATTATGTAGAAGGGGTGGATGAAAGTAGATTTACGAAAGAATCATATATGGACTCGCGCGCTTACACTTGAAACCAATTTCAATATCAATTCAATTTCAATCCACATAAAATCTCAATAATTATTCAATGTCAACACTATACAACCCCAACTGTAGCTGTTAAAATAACATTCAGAGTACGGAATACAAAGCCAAACTCAATACCATATATACCAATTGGGCCTCCGGTAACCTCACTCACACGACGAAACACAACGCAAGCGTTGCTTCACGTCGGTTTTCTTTGAGGCCGTGGTATCACTCCGGTCGAGCAGGCCCATTCGTGCCGAAGCATGGCTCTCCCACACTTAAATGTACAGGTGTACAATACTCTGAACTAGTGATAACAAAATTACCTCACATTTGCGAAATGATGCGTGTAAGCGATTGTGTTGAGGTAGAATCCTTGCACGGGTTAATGGTTCACTAATGTCCCTGTACCGGGTCACAATATAATAATATCGAGATGTTACAGGTCAATTTGTGTTATAACTATAAGACCCTTATAATGTCTTGTAACTTAAAGGTACGTAAGAATGTATGTACTTTAGGTACTATGTCGTCTGGAAAAGTGCGAAATGCAATGAAGTTCATTTGCTAATTGGAATGTTTCTTTAATTAAAAACAAATTTCCGTATGTACGACTTTTAAATTTATTAAATGTCCGAAAATTTATGGATCGATCTAAATCTTTAAGAGAATCTCCAGAAATACAACCTATGCTAAATATCGATATTTATTCTTAGATTTTGTACAGAGATAGTATATAATTTTGCTAGACTTTTTTTAAGGGGGGAAATCATCAAATGACTGCTCCCGCCTGGGTGAGGCGGAAGGGAGTGTCAGACTCTTACTGACTAAAAACCACCCCGTTCTTTCTCCTGCACGTCGAGGCCGGCCCCGGTTACCCTTTAGGTTCTTCGCGACAATTTTGCTAGACTAGATGTTATGATTTAGACCGCCTCGGCCGAATGATCGCAAGTATGACTGCCGGGGTTCTCAGGCCCTCGGGTTCGATTCCCAGGTCGGGCAAAGTAGGTACTACTGGGTTTTAAAAAAAAAATCTCAGTAGTAGCACGAGATAGCACGACTCATAACATAAATAGTGAAAAGTGGATGTCACATAGTACAGTAGCATTAAGTGCCGTAATGTGCACCTGAAAGGCGTGATGTTAAATCCGAACACAACATAACAAGTAGGGCAGATAACAAATGTATTCCATTCTGCTATCACCTATTACATGGCAAATTAAAAGTATATAGTAGGCAACATCACGCCTGATGGTAACATCATGCCTACCATAAGGCAGGACAGGTAAACAGGTTAACCCATTAAGGCAAGTTGTGGAGTTTGAAAGAAAACAATACATTGTCGGTATTCTGAGAGAGCGACTGTTACACCGTAGCTTTCAATTAATATTATCATTTCTAATTTTGATTATCTGATAAAATCAGAGCATTTGCTGTAATATTTTTTATACATTAACTAGCTTCTGCCCGCGACTTCGTACGCGCAATAAGCCAAATCGGTCCAGCAATTCTCAAGTTATGGCGTAACAACGGGGAACGGATTTCATTTTAATATAGATAGATACAGAATTTTTTTTTATAAGGGAGGAAAGTCATCGAATGACTTTCCTCCCTTATAAAAAAAGGAGAGGGAGTGTCAGACTCTTACTGACTAAAAACCACTCCATTCCTTCTCCTGCACGTCGAGCCGGAGCCCCCGGTAACCCGTTAGGTTC